CACAAAATACATTTTTTAAAAACTTTTTCCCTACTATTTGAAAAATGTTTCTTAGCTCAGAGGCAGCACAATAACAGGCCACAGGCTGGATGTGGTCCTTAGGCCATGGTTTGTCCACCCTTGATCTAAGGAGAAGAAGCTCTCCTACTGCGGACACCCACAGTCCACTTGCTCACTGCTGGTTTTGTGGGTTGGTGTTTTGACTTTGCCTTTTTGTTAGCACTTCTGGCTACTCCTGGGTGACAGCCAGCAATGAAGAAAAAACTTCTGAAATTTGGTTTAAATCCATCACACTGCATCCAAAGGCGGGTCGCCTAGACAGTAAAGACCACACCAGGATGGAGAGCACTTCCTGATTTCCTTCCCTGTGGTGATAATGTGCACATAGACACAGACAGGCTTTTTCCAGAAGAGATAGCGAGTCACAGCACAATGCGGAGGACAGCCCCAAGTCCACGTAAACCTTCTCTCATTTAAAGCTTCTGCATGAATGAGATACCCTTGAAGTCAACTGGGAGTTCAGTCAACTGAAGAAGTTCCTGACAAAAAACCCAGAGTTTATTTCAGCCTCCCCAGCCTTATATGGTGACTGTGCCTGTTTCATAGTTCCCAAGGATGCCAGGGGAGCCCTGAACAATACACAATCCTACCTCTCAGAGAACACTGTACCCAGTCTTTTGATTCTTCTGTGTGGTATTTCACACAACGGTAATTTGTCACAAAACTAATTTTGATTTGCTTGTCACACTACCATACCTGAGGCCAGAGAGAGTTTCCTTCCCCTAAGCCCTCCAGAACTCTTGCTCCTGTTTTGGTCTCTTTCAGACCATGGTGCTTAAATCCTATGCCGACGTGGCTCATACTGTCCTCAAAGTGTTTAATTGTCCCTTCAAGATCAGCCAGGGCATTCATTGCCTACCTAGGTTTATAGAGAGAATGTTTGTTTTAAAAGGGAAGCATAACAGCTTGCATGTTGTAAATATAACCTCATGACTGTTAATAATTTCATTTTCAATGATTTAAAAGGTATCAACTGTTTGACAATTTTACTTATGTATACAAACATATGTAGAGATAGGTATTCTCTATATTTGTCTCAATACCTACAATCTATGCCTATGTCTTTATCCATACAGGGAGATAAAAGGAGTAAGATGGATGATAGAGAAAGATAGATGATAGGTAGGTAGATAGATAGATAGATAGATAGATAGATAGATAGATAGATGAGAGATACAGCAAGCAGCTAATATTTGATGCCAGGTAACAGGTACTGTTGATGGTTCCCAGGTAAAACCTCATTTAACTCAACGATCATTTGAGATAGAAATCATTTTTCATCATACAGATCAAGCAAACTTTTCCTCTTTTCCTCTTCCTTTATCTACAAGTATCCAGTCCCTTTCCAAATGCATCATGCTATGGATTCTGACTGCTAAGGGATATAGGCAGAATTTACTCCAGAACCGTCAATGAAAGGATGAGAAGAAAACACAGAGCCTAAAAAGACATAGCCTCAAAGAGGTAAAGCATGGAAGGAAAGGTCGTGTGTGTGTGTGTGTGTGTGTGTGTGTGTGTGTGTGTGTAAGTCCTATCATGGAATAGTTTAAAGCCTTGGGTTCCGCCCTGGGAATTGGAATACAGTAAGTCTAGGGATTGATGCTGACCATCCATCCACCTGTTCACTGCCTTTGTGTGACCCTCTGAGACAGGACTGCAAGATGAATTTGAGAAGCCCATTCAAACCCCCCAGCAGCCCTAGGAAAAAGAACACAAGAAGGGCCCTGTTCCAGAATGTCACTTAAGATGTGGAAGGTTTCTACTGTCCCTGCCCAGCGTAGACAGCCAAGTCACTTGGAGGCTTCCTGGAAATGAAATGTGAGAGAAGATAAACTTTGCTTTCATCTTCAAAAATAAGAAAAATAAATAACCACAAAACACAGGCTGGGACAAGAAAAACGCCAACGTGCACACATAAGCAATGGTGCATTCATCAGTCCCAGTGGGTTGCTCATGCTTGCTAGACTGTACTTTAAATAATACTGGGGCTATGAGGTAAAAATGCATCCAAGGACTCTGGTTGGAAAGAATACTATCCTTTTCATCATGTGTTACAGCTTCCTTTCTCTCTCAGCCAAAAGGAAGGAGATGGAATTGATCAGTGTCTCAGCCTCTCCACTCTAGGAGCACCCACAAACATTTTAGCTGTCTTGGCCACTTTGTAAGTGGGGGAGCTGGACTGATTCACTAAAATGAAGTCTCTTTCTGAAAGATCCAGGAACATATGATACGACTTTGATGTGTGACCTGAGTGGTATCTCCTCAGTTATTAAATCCTTGGGAAGACATTTCACCCCCACCAGGATACTATAATTAGAAATATGTACAATAGTAAGTGTTGGCAAAGATGTGAAGACATTGAAAACCTCATACACTGTTAGTCAGAATGACAGTTCATTAAAAGGTTAAAGTTACCACGTGATCCAGCAATTTTACTCCTAAGTATATGAAGTATGATAAAAACATGGAGAATGTCTATTACTGCGAAGGACACACTGTCATTCATCTCCCTCAAAATACTTCCTCTTACTTTAAGCATTCTTATCCCATCATTCTTGCTACTCTTTAAAGTGGGTTCTTTTCAGGTTGGTGAAATGCTCTGGAATTAGATAGTAGCCCAGTTGTACAATTCTGTGAATATTCTAAAAAATCACACACTGAGATGAATAGTAAAAATATTAGGAAGATGAAACTCAGATTTTTTGAACACTATCTCCCAGAGCGAATCTCCTACAGATGATTCTCATGGAAGATCATGAGGTTGGTGCCAGCTTGGTTTACAGTAGAGGAAACCAAGGTCCAGACAGGACCCATCTGTTGCCCAGTATCACCAGCTGCAAGAAATAACTCTTCTGATTCTGTAAAGCCCCCACGCATCACATTTCTGCTGTACTGCTTAAGGCCACAGACTCATTTGCTTAGACTGTTTCCTACCCAGTGATGCTTACAAAGCTTACACTGAGTCTCAAGTTCCTATTCAACATTAGCCAAGCCTCCTGGACTTGGTCATTCTGATGCCTGAATGAGGCAGGCCAGGCTAGCAGACCAATCTTTAGTTTTCAGAATGGTGGTGGATCCTTAACCTGCATCTGTCAACACCTGTCAGATGTTGCACCATAAGCATGTGTTTGCCATTCCTGGGTGATTAAGGAGCTTCCTATAGATGTAATAGAAACTCCCTGATGTGCGGAGGGCGGGAGAGAGTAAGCAGCATGCAAGGGGTCCTCTCTCCCCTAAAAATTCACAGAGCCCTCCAGATGGTAATGACTCTCAGCCCCGTCTCTCCATCTTCCCCTTTCTACCAGGGGTTACCATCAGCTAGTTTTTGAGGCAGCCTCTTGAATACAGCCTTCCTACCTGGAAACTGCAAGGGCCTAACCTCCAACCTGTCCAAGATGCCTGACATGTTTTGCTTCTTCATAAATGAATGATCTCATGACTCAGTGACAATCATACATGCCTCATTTGATTTCCAGCTTTCCTTGGGTTTGTGGGGGCGACTAGAAGACCATAAGGTGCCAGACTTTTACCAAGACCTGCCTATGCATGTTTGGGGAGGCTGGGCAGGGCTCTAAAGTAAGTTATTTCCCGATTTTTCTCCTCACAGACCACCCTCCCTTAATCCTTCATGACAAATATCACTTTCAAAATAATTCTAAAGCTAAAATGGCCAGTGGCTGATTCTTGAAGGATATATATTTTTGTCTTGAAATGGGCAAAAACAATGCAGAAAAAAAAATTTTGTCATGTTTAACCCAAGACCTTCACCAAGCTACATCTCTACCCCCTAGAGACAGGATCTGGCTAAATTTTAAGTTCCTGAGGCTCGGCTTGAACTTGAGATCCTTTTGCCTCAGCCTCTCAGAGCGCTAAGATGACAGGCACATGCCACCATACCCAGCTGAAATACAGAAATTCTTGTTTGCATTATAGCCCACTGGGTCAAAACCATAAAGTGTTTTGACCTCAAGCATATAGAATAGGTGTTACTGATCTACACAGGGCAGTTGGTGTGGATCTTGAGCCTGACTTTAAATACTGCTGAGGTCACAGTAGCCCCATCCAGGCCAAGGGCCTCCAATGGGTGGAAATGCCCAGAATCCTACAGAATATTCATCCTGAACACGTGTGCTTATCAGGTGACACTGTTCTTAGGCTTTCCCATGTCTTATCATTATCACTTTATTTTGGTGGAATAATTAACTGTTCTACAAATAAGCAACAGAGCACAGGATGTGGGAAAATGGAGGACCAGGACCACTTTCCCACTGCCTGGCGAAGCCCTCACTATACCAATGACAATCTCAAACCCAAGAGATGTGCCATTCAGCAGTGTTTAGTTCCGAAGAGCATGGCTGGAGTCCAGGAGAAGCTGTTTTCTCTCACTTTCCTAGTGTGGGCAAGGCTGGAGAAGAGAGAGAAGGGAACCCCATGGGCCATCGGTCTGCATTAACTCATTCCCCTCCTTAGGTGCCTGGTGATATGAAAGTAAGTCATTTTTAAATTGGCCATATTTTCTTTTAGACATTCACAGTAAATTCTACGGTCTGTGCATCACAAGAAAATCAGCCTAGAAAGGTCCAAATCCCTAAGGTCTAGATGTCCTGGCCACCTCCCCCTCATTACTACCTTCCATACTTATACTTCTAGGTTTGAGGACCCCTTCCCCCCCCACTGTGCTCCTCAGGGGAGCTGGTAAGACCCAGAAGAACAGTGACTCCATCTCCTGTCACACCAGTGAGCAACCCAGCCAGGGCACGAATCAACTTGTGATTTTCTGTTGGACCAACCTGTCCCAAGTACTGCTGATCTCGCCCCTCCCCAGGTCTCAGTTATTTAGTAAACAAAAAGCCTTCCAGTTTTGCCTGGTAGGCCTTCACATAACTCAATACTCCATCAACACTTCCGAGCACAGGAAACCATTTGGTGAGACACCAGTATTAAAAAAATAAGCTGCATGACATTTATTTTGTCTTGTTAACATTAATATCTGTAGAAACATTTTATTGTCAGTATAAAAATTAACAGGTTTTATTAAATACTTTTTCCAATTTCATAACACATAAAATCAGTGTCATCTGCTTTCATGTTGCATGGCTATAGCAAAGTGAGTGGGTGTTTTGGAAGCAAAACACAATTCTTTAACACAGAACAAATGCTAGTGATATTTTTCCAATATCAGTCTGAGGCCAGATCTTTTGGTGAGGTGTTATCAGCAGACAGAAGCAATCCCTTAACAGCAAGGAACAATCAAAGTCCCCTGAACTCAACCTAACAATTCTGTTTCAGTTTTCTATGATGGAACTTGAAGATCCTAAAAGGTTTCTCTGATGCCAAAGAACCCGGACACCATTATCAAAATGCACCAAAGGGAACATGAGATTCTCTGACAATGTATGACTTGGGCAGGAAGCCAGTGGCCAGAGCAAGCCCACTGTTCCCACTGCAATCTTAGGTCGGTTCTGGGAGATGGATTAAGGCATCTTTGAATGAGGACGCTACTACCATTTGCCTTGGGAAGTTCAGTTAAATGTTGTGTTGGCCAATGACAGAGTTGCGTATCAAAACAAAATACCCTCTTATTCTCAGGTTCCTGTAATCAGGGCATTCAGGCGGTCTGAGCACAATCATCTGACAGCAGAGTTTAATGCAAGTAAATTGAAACTTCATTTTCTCCCAAATTAAACCTATATTGTAAATATTTTTCTTCTCAAAGGATCAGATAACTAGTTAAGTCCAAGCAATAGATTAACTAGTTCACTGTGCTGCCTGCCTAGAAATGCCACTTAAATTACAAAAAAAAAACCTATGATTAATTGTTTTGTATATTACCAATTCATTAATAAATTAATGTTATACCATTTTCCCTGAAAGCAAAAAGTATTTTTCCCACCTCTGCTCGGTGAAAATTAAGAAATTCTGTTTAAGAACAGCATTTAGCAAACAGCTATTTAAAAAAAGAGAGACCAATTTTTTAGGTGCATTGGGACATCCATTTAAAATCAATACAAAAAATAATTCCTTGTAAATATATAATATATATTTATACATAATTTGAATATATTTACATACATCCAGCACCTATATACTGCATTTGTGCTCTGTAAGTGTGTGCTGACATATATTTTCTCCAATTATTACAAAATTAACAAGGAAGGCAGAATGTGTCTGCCTTGAGTCCAACTGGGGCACAGCCAGTACCCAGGGGGAGTCAGAGGGTGACATGGTGGCTTGTGGCTGTCCATTGCTCCAGAAATATTCTTCTCCGGGTGAAGATGACAAGTTTCCAACATACGAATCTTTACACATGTGCCGATTACTTTTCCAATTATTTACTCCTCTGATCCATATATACAAGCAGAGACAACAAGCTCTTGGAGGCATGGCCTCCCAGCTCAGTGTAGGTAGGTTCCTGACACTGTCCTTTTTGGGGACAGGAAGACACATTCATTCATGTTTTAACACTGCCATTTATGTGTGGAAACTGAGGCAGGCAGGGTTCATAAGGCATGGGGTCCGGAGAAAACACAGAGTCATCTCCTGAAGAACAAGAACTCCTTGTGTCAGGGGAACTAGGTGAGTACTGTTCCAGAGGCTGACTGAGGTCCAAGTATTCCTGAAAGAAGGGAAGAGAGATGTTTTATTTCATCTCAGGTCAGGATAACAAGGTGAGTACGGTTCGAGAGGCTGACTGAGGTCCAAGTATTCCTGAAAGAAGGGAAGAGAAAAGTCTTATTTCACACACAGGCTCCTGAGAGGTGGGTTATCAGACGTGGGACAGCACAGAGAACCCTCGGAAGCTTCACAGAGGCCCAGCCCAGCCCAACATGCCAACTTTATTTACTCTGGCCTGCCCCTGACTTTTCTCTTACAGTCATCTTGAATAAACTCATGGCAGGTAGATTAGAATAATAAATCCCTGTTGAACTTAGGACATGGATGGTCATCCCAACCTGCAGAAGTGACCCCGACCTGGATAACTCTTTGTTAGAGTGTGTGGTGCAAGTTTGGCCCCAACGAAGTAGAACCCTGTAGATTCTCAGGACCTCTTAAATAGAAAGACTATGAATATGTATTTTCTGAATTACATTTTACTACGATAATTACTAGGGAACGTTCAAGGAGAATACTTCATTTGACACATAATTTAACAAACTAATTCATTACTTCCAAAATCTCTCTGAGCTAAAAATGTAAATTGGTTCAAAAAAGGCTTGGACACACTCATGTATGTTAAATTTGTAATAGGCTGTTAAAGGAAAGCGTAGGGAAATAGCGGATAGCTTTTAGTTCTAAAAGTTTGAAATTCAGAAGGCTTTTCGGCTCCCCAAGATTCACTGGTGTTGCTGCTGAGCCCCTCTCTCTCCCACCCAGATCACCAAGGATAACATTTCCTACCAGGACAGGGCATGAGCCCAGGGCCTGTTTTCCTGTGGCCCATGAACTAAGGGTGGCTTATAACATTGTAAACGGGTGGAAAAACTCAAAACAAGAGCAGTATCTGATGGCACTGAAATGACATAAAATGATATAAAATTCCAATTTCAGGGTCCATAAAGTTTTAGTAGAATACAGACACTCGTTTATTTACATAGTCTGTATCTGCGCTCCTGCTACAATGGCAGTTTCGACAGACACCATATGGCCCTTGGAACTAAAAATATTGACTCTCTGGCCCTTTGCAGAAAGCATTTGCTGACCCCTGTTCTGACTAAACAGGGACCTTTTCGATCTCTATGCTTTAACTGAGCTGGCACACCGGGGTGGCTCTGCTCACACATTCAGAAGCCAGGGACTCTTGTCTGCCATGTGGTTTTGCTAAGAAGAGGGGGCCGAAAGTGCAGACCACAGCACAAACAGCCTCTGCGTTATCAGAAAAGAGCCCACGGAATGTTGGCGACTCTACATCTTAGGAGACAAAAAAGCACTATAATTCATCACCAGGCTTGGCAAGAGTAAGAGTCCTCATCCAAGAGAGGGGATGTGTCAGTTCCAACAACATCAGCATTAACCACACAACGAGAAACAAACACGCCCACCACATCAAAAAAGAACTTTCTGCTTACAATGATATAAATGAAATTTTGTCCTAAATGGAACCATTTTTCTCAAGCATATGGTAATGATTTTCAGAAGGAAAGAACCTTCGATTTTTATATCCGTTAGACAATATGGCATTCTGCTTTTGCATTTTAGGACAGTACGTATAAATCTCAGGACAAATGGGCCCTCTTTAAATGTGTGCATATATGTATGTATAAACAAATATACACATATCTGCATAAATACGTAACAGTGAACATAGACATGGGATCCAAAAACCAGAACTTCAGCGTTTCTCCTGGTTTCTAAATGAACCCATAAACCTTCAGATCAGATAGGGAAAAACTAGGACTACCAGTGAATTGCGAGCCTAGGGTTAAAGAAACTTACACTAGAAACAACAATTTTGGCAGGAGAAGAAAGTTGGGCTCCCTACCCCCACCACGTGAACTATTCCTTTCAACTTCTGAAGGTCAGCTGTGTTCATTTAAATGCAATTGCTCCTCTATCCAGCACAAGCCACAGACACACAAGATAAAGCTGCTGGCTTGAGGCCTTCTTGTATCACTACATTTGACTGATTTCTAAAGAAATCACTTTAAAACTTTTTCTAAGTCAGAAATTTTTTTCCTTCTAGAATATTTGAGAGATTTTAACCTTTTCTGTTGTCGTAAAGACAACTATGTAACTTTGACTTTTTTCCCCCTTTTTCTTCTGTATAAAGAAGCACTGATCTTTATTAAATATCTCAAATTTGATTTGTTAACCATTTCTATCATTATGTCTTCTTGAGCTCCATGGGTTTATCCTCTTTCTAGCTCAGAGCACATTCTTTCTATAGCCCTAAAAGGTCACTCCCCTTGCACACTGAAGCAGCCACAGATATGGCCAAGTTTGAGCCTAGAGTGACAGCAGTGTTCCTTGATTATAGCTTGGCATCAGTTATAAATAAAAACTACTTTAGCAACAGGTACCAGTTTTCACTTAAAAATCCTGTAAGTCACATATTTTAGGAGGCTAGGTATGTGTCACATGCACATAGCTAGACAGCCGCTGCCAGACAGGGTCACAAAAGACCATGATGTGCCCCACAGAGGCTGGAATTATAGACCTTCACTGCCTGTGACCAAGTCATCACCAGTGGAGCACCAGCAGCTCTCATGCTAATTGCTAGGGCACAGAGAAAAGTGAGTGCCTAACAAACCCATGTTTCTTCCCCCACACACCAACATGCCCTAACTCCACTTTTCTTCCCTCCCTTCTCTTTTCTTTTACCACATCTGAGCCACTCTGCCACCAGCAACCAGAGGGCAGTCGGGGATGGCTCTCAGACTTCGGTCTCATTAGTGAGAATTCATAAAATGCAGTTCAGAGAATAACCACGACTTGCGAGAAACATACAATTTAACTCTGTCTGACTCCTATGGAAAAATGATAAGCTATAGCATGGACTTCCACAGAGAAGTTCATACATAAAAACCTGAGCTCCTATCCCCAGCCAGCCAAGACATCGTGGCTTCTGAAGGAGGGGCTCACCTCATTGGTTGTGAGAGTAAGAATTCGGTCCAGGTCTTCTACCAACTGCTTGAACGTTGGTCTCTGCGAGGGCACTGCGTGCCAGCAGTCTCTCATCATCATGTACCTGGAGAAAGGGATTTCCCGGGTGAATTAATCGCATCCAATACTCTGGGTATGGCTAAATCCAGCTTTAATTTGAAGGCAGCCGAGATGTGCCCTAAATAATGGAAATGTAAGAGAACTTTCCAAGCAGTTGAGGAAGTGGTTATCTACTTCCCCCACTGCATGGCTTCTCAAGGGCACACTGACCTACAAAACCTCACTTTACCCCGAATATTTCAGGAAGACATCTATGCATCAAGAATATCTACATGTGTCACTGGTATTTCTCTTACAGCAGAACACATCACAATGATATTACACTTATAAGACATTTTTGGAGGTTCAGGGATATGACCTACGTGCTTATAGTTATTCTAGTTTTCCTCCTCAAACACTTCTGCCTGAACCATGCTTTGGGTTTTAAGATTCTAGTTGACAAAAGTTCTTAGTTAAAAAAAAAAAAAAGTCTGAAAACCACAAGTTTAAGGTAAGGATTTTATGAACTAATCTGCCACTGCTGAGCTGTACATTAACTTCCTGATTAACTCTTAGATAGACCAAGGTTCCCACCCTTATCTTGCTTCTGAGTTTCGACAGACCCTGTATGTTAAAAAAAAAAAAAGCAATAGGCATGACAAGCACAATAAATGCCTTTATATAATGTACTACAAAATGTGGCCATTCATCAGACATCCACTGTACACTGAAAGCACTCATGGGATTACTAGTATAAAATCCCCACGAAAGGACACACAATAGAGCGCAGTCTCCAAGACAATCAGTCTTCTTAGTTCACCCCAGGGGGAGGGGCAGTGCCTCCTTTTCAAAGCATTGATTCCACTGCACAAGGCACGTGTCACTAACACAACATAATCCCACTGACAGTGTGAGGTAGATCCTTCTGGAAACTAGCTCATGATTGTAAGGCCAGGCATGGTACCCTAAGGATGGTGCTAGAACCACTTAGTTCTCTGTGCTAAAATATGAGTGAAATACAGGTAATCAGATATCAGCTCTTTTGTTCTGAGAGCTTGTGGTTGATGCCAATTGGCAGGGACAATTTTCAGTGGTCACAGATACCCCAGAAATACCCATTTTCTACTCGCCAGACCTGGGCCAGAAACTACCACCTGTGCTACAAATGGGCAGCCCCCTGACTTTCTAGCTTGGTGTCTGATTTGGGTGTCTTCCTGTCATTCTTAAAACATAGTACAGTGGCAAAGGAGGATCACTCCAGCTGATTTTCTCCTTGCCCGGGCAGCTGGATGCCCTCTGTGATTTAAACCCTGCTCCATACACTCTGGCAGGATAGTCTTTCTTTTGGACAAGTATTGCCTGTCAGTATAGCTATCAGTCTCGGCTCTGGGGTTGATACCAGACAGCTTCAAACAATTTTTCTTCTTAGAGCATGTCTAGAAAATGGTGATCTGAAGAAACTGAGACAAGTGAGAAATGTGACTCATATGGTGAGTCCACTAGAGAACCAGCAGGGGAGACCCAGTCCTTACAGCTCATTGGTGCAGTTGGCTGGCTTATCCATCCTGTGTCCTTCCTTTAGCAGCTTAAAAAGTTCCTCCACGGGAATCCCTGGGTAAGGCGAGCCCCCTAAAGTGAAGATCTCCCACATTAACACCCCAAAGGACCAGCTGTAAAAAGAAAAAAATACACCATTACTATCCCATCTAAATCACAGAAACCTGAACATAAAAAAAAATAAATAAACACATACTCAATTCTTACATTCATGGATAAATTAATCCTCCTGTAATTCATCCTGCAGGCATTTGCCTGAGCCCCGGGAGCCTCCCTAAATGATGACATGGGGATGCTCTGATGGGAGTTTTCCACCAACAGACAAAAGCAAACCACCACTGCTCTGAAAAGTTCTTCATCTTACACCAGGTGACTCCTCAAAGAGTATCATTTACTTGAATTTTCAGAGAGCCAGAGTTGGCCTTTCCGACCTATTCGGGGCCCTCAGTCCCTGGGATAATGAAGCAGAGATTCCTGTTTGTCTACATCACCTTAGCTCTGGAAACTATCCCTCCTGCTTCTATGCTGGTCAATTTTGGGGATGAAATTGCTTCCAGTTTTATACAGAGCACAAATAGCACAACAATGAAGGCAGAAACAGCTTTAAGCCTCAGTTTCCTTACAGCATAAATGATACCACGACTCTTTACAGAACAGCTGAGAGCTGAACATACTATGCCAGCATCAAGTCTCCCCCAGAAACCGTCTTGCTCATGCAAATAAAAACCTGTTCAACTGATTTTTAAAAACCATTTCCTTTGGCATAATTATGGACTCATTGGAACTTTCACCTAGTTTCTCCTAATAATAACATCACTCAACTGAATTTACAAATCTAAAGCATTAATTGGTGCCGGACCCTAACATACTTTTAAGTATGTCATAACAAATATGATGACATTTCTACTGCAGTTCTAGAATGTTATTAAGGAGGCTAAGACAAAACCAGACTTCTTCGTATTTTTTAAAAATAATCACTATAAGAAGATGCAGTGGAAATCATTGGGCTGACCACATCTCACTTAGTGTTGCCCTTTGTGAGCACACTTGGGTGGGGGAGCATGACACACCTCCATTGCAAGTGTTTCAGGAATATTTTTGTAAGCGTGCAAGGGTGTGCCAACAGCTTGGCAAATCAGTTAGCAGCTCTGCAGATGCACCCAATAAGCCATTGGAGGAGCACTTCAGCTTGGTTCTGCCTTCCATGCTCTTTGAAGGCAGGCAGATTAGGCACAGAACACTGGCTACCAGCCTCCCATAGAATCATGCTTTCTGAGGTCACCCTCTACAAAATGTGTGAAATGCAATGGCTACCAAAGAATGACAAAAGGCAAAGAACATGCAGGTATGCAACTCAAGCCCAGAAAGAAGCCAGAGTAAAAGCAATCACTTACACGTCACTCTGATGTGTGTACACTCTATCGAAAAGGGCTTCGGGAGCCATCCATTTCACTGGAAGACGCCCCTGCAAATATGCAAGAAAATGTAAAAACTCATGGGTTAAAACAAGGTTACTGCTGCAGACTGTGCCCCGTTTCGCAGCTGATATTCTAATTGTTTTCATTAGCACATCATGAGCACAGAAATAAGCTCCAACTAGAACTATATAAAGTGTGAGATGCACAGATTTGAGCTCATTATTAAATGTCATCTCCTTGGATTCTCATTATCATTTATCTCCCTGAAACACAGACACACCCTGACCAACTTCTAGGCAAAAATTGATCCAGGAACATTCAGGCTCTATTCTCTGTGATGAAAATTCTTAATAAGAGTCATCTTTTCAAAGTATACATGTGGAAGCTGCTGATTATTTTCCATATAAGATTGTTTCGCATTTTCTACAATTATCTTAAATATATCTTAAATTTGCTTACTGAGAATGTATGAAGATAATGGTGAAAGAATAGAAATAAAAGACCGAGGATAGGCCTTCACAGCTCCTTCTAGCCTCTAACCTATAAATTTGCTTTTTGGAAGTTCTACACCTTGCTAACACATTATAAGAATATAATGTTTCTACTATAACACCCCTGTTTTATTGCCATAGACTTACATTTGTTGTCTTTTTGTAATAGTCTATATTGTTGATGTCTCTGGCCAGTCCAAAGTCTGCTATTTTCATCACATTGTTTTCTGTAACCAAAACATTTCTGGCTGCTAAATCTCGATGAATGCACTGAAATCAAGAAAGAAGAGAAAGAACTAATTTCAAAATGCTTCAAGAAATAAGAATTTATTTTTTAAAATGCATGCAGAACATATATCTCGAGGCAAAAACTAGCTGTAGTACACCATGAGAGCATATTGGAGCTGTAGGATGAAGCTGCTTCTCCACAAGCCCCAAAGATCTCTAACATGACACTGTCATTTATTTTCTTAAGTCGTTTCGGAGAGCAAAAGGAGACGAACCACATTCTCTTTTATCTGTAGTTGTCTTACACCACCAATATTCTCCTGTTAGTAGCATACAGGATCGGTGTTAGGTCATCCTAAAAACCTTTCATTTCAACTCTTGCTTGCTTCAAAAGAGCACTTTTCAAAAGAGCCGGTTAAACCTCAACACCACATCGTCTTCACTTCCTGGTCAGTTTCTCCAGCATTGCAACCTGATAGCAAGCTCTCAGAAAGTTCTAGAGATTATAAACTCTGTATTTCCTTCCTACAAATGATATTTTCCATTCTTCACTGCTTCTAAAGTTTACAAAGAGCCTTTTCACCATTCGACCCAAGCGACCTCTTCCAGTCCCTCAGTTTTTCCTCCTTTGCCACTTTAGACACTGTTGATTTCCTGCTTGTATTTGACAACTCACTCTCCATTGAGTCCCCTCCAGTCTGCTTTCTCTTGGCTGTCTCCCCCACACCCCACTTTTTGGTTGGCTCCTTTCTTCCTCTGTTCCTCAAAAGCAGAGAACTTTCCCATTGGGCTTATGCATTTCTATCATCCTGGCAGTGGTTCTCAGATACATACAAAACAGTTGCAAATTTCTCTCTACCTCAACCTCACCCTTGAGATCCACATTCTCATTTTCAGCTCACTCTAGAAGAAGGCCCTATTGAGTTCCCCTGACATCTCAAGTTCAAGACTTCTATCCCCCCACCCCACCCCATTCTTACCTCCTTGGTCTCTCATAGTCACAACTTACTCCTGACACTCACGTCCTGTTGACTTGTACTCCAAAATGCCTCTGCAGTTCTCACTGTACTGCTGACCCCTTTACTCAGGCCGGGGCCACCGTCTACTCCATGCATGGATTTCCACACAGCCTGGCCAGCAGCCCTCCATGCTTCAGAACTCAGCCAGCCCCCCTTCTACACTCCCCTCCGCTTGTGTTTAGATAGAGCCAACTTGGTCCTCTCCTGGCTTCTCTCACAGCCAACCCTCCCCCAGCCCCATCACAACACACAGGCCACACAGGGGGCACAAGCTGTGTCTGCCACATACCTTATGACTAAATCCTGAACTGCTTGCTATGGGGTAGCTGGAGGTCAGGCACGACAGCAACTCTTTGAACTCTGAAAAGTTTAGTTATTATGATGTCTATATTCCTTTTCTCTAAATGATATGTTTTTGTAAGCTGCTTTGTTTCCACTGAATTTTAATACATTATGACTGCAAGGTGGATACATGGTAATTAGGATCTCAAAACATCAGCCTCTATTTGTACAAGAGGTAAGATATAAAAAAATAAGTAAATAACACCATCAAATGCTCTGCGCAAGTACCCAGCAAAGATTAACTATCACATGAAGTAGACTTATCAGTATACTCAACAAAATTGTAATGGGCTAACCCTAGACAGATACTCCATGAAATGACAAATTAAAAGGGAATAAATCAAACTACCCCGAAATATTAATAAGGAAGTATTTTACCCTGCCCCACCTCTACTCTTTCCAATGTTCACTCACTTGGGTGGGAGGACTAAGCTCAGAAACGAGGAAGCAAGAAAGCCACCCAAGTGTGTATATCCCTGGCCAGACTAGGAGCAGGAAATGTGAGAGCTCCCAGAGCTGCATGCAGAACCGTCTGGGCTGGAGCGCGTTCCTGGTTTGGAGGCCTCTTCAAATTGAACTTCCAAGCCCTGGGCCAAACTCTCCCGGTGGTGTGCTCCCACCGACTGTGCTATGTGTTTGGCAAGCCGAGTGGTCAGAAAAATCTGGCTCCAACCACACATCAGACTGCAGCAGGGAAAGAGACGCTGCCGAGGGTCACTGCCACCATCTTGTCTAGCATGGATACCTCTCATTCCAAGGTGCTAGGAAACATGTAAGCCCCCTCTGGGTTGAACAGAAGCCCTGGAACCAATGCCCAAGTAAAAGAAAGTAATTAAAGACAAGCCAAATCCTCAGCATCCACAGAAAGTTGAGTTGTCCTCCAGCCCAGAGAGCTGAATTTAATAATTAGGGCCCTGGAACCATCTGATATTCCCTTTTTCTATAAGCTAAGGAAAAGAAAGTTAATATCTCATGATGCACACAGTGTACAAGATCATATTTAATTCCCAGGGCAATCTAAGAGATGAGTGCAATAATGCTCACTTTATAGATGGGGATGACAGGACTTGCTTTAAAAACAAGAACAAAAACAATTGCTGTTCTGGTTTAACACTTCAAAAGTAACAAGGATTTTACAAATTTGCTAAGGCTCACGGAGCCTGTCACTAACTGATCTGCTCTAGGCACATGGTATTTCTTGGCTGATTCTAATCTCTAACCCCACACACAATGGACAGCTGCCTCAGGTCCAGCACCATGAGGTGTGGCACCTCAACTTTCCCGGCACTGAACACAGCTTGGCCTAGCAACTAACTCCTGGGCCATTTACAAAACCACAGACACCCTCCCCAGCTCTCCTTTGCCCCTCTTTCCAGGGAGGGGACCTCTGACAAGTCACTTCCTCTGTGGAGGTGGTAGGGGGTAGCCAGTTTCTGACCTTTCCCTAATTCCTCAATCTCCACATTTGGGGATAAGCTCTCCAGTTTTGGAAGCAGGTGCCCCTCAGGGTACCCATTCCTAAGATCTCTACCTATCATCTTTCAAATCTCTCCTAGGTCCTTAATTGCAGGTGTCTCTGGAGCCATGCAATGCCCTAAGGAAACATGACTGTCCCCTTTATCCAGGGATCTGCTGCAAAGGAAAGGAGTGAGACATACTAGGTCACTAATCAGGCCCCTACAGAGACTAACCAGTCCTGCTTGGGTCCACAGAGGGTCAAGCGTTGCCTCACAACAGCATGTGGTTGGGCAAAGGTCTAGGGGACATAGGTCTGAGACCTGCTACTTCAGTCTGAGCCTCTGGGTCTCTTCCCAGAAGTGAGGACAGCCATTCTGCCATTTCCTGTCACTTCCTAAATCCTCAACGGCCATATGCATAAAACAAGGATCCTAAGCTCACCTATTACAGTCACTTTGAGGGTTACATAAGTACTCCATGTCAGAGGGCTCGTCACTTCATCTGGCGGAACACAGGCTCACAAAAAATGTTTAGCAATTAGTAATAATAGCAACTACAGTTATTGAAACACAATTCATAAGGTGATTTCATCTCCCATTCTGTCAGCCTAACATATTCACTCTCTCAACTTGCAAAATGCATTCGACTCTTAAATGTTCTTCCCACCATCATGAGCAGCTCCAAACCAAGAAGGGTCTCAAAGTGTGGGTGAGGCGGGATAGGGAATCATTGTTTCTAGGGCCAGATCCAACATGCATGTGTCTGTCCTTGCTCTGAATTGGGCCACACAGCTGGTTTTACCTCTCCTTCCTGCAACTCTCCTTTGAGGCTTCTTCAAACTGCATCCCAGTATTCCTCTTTAGTCTCAGCTGGGTCCTGCACCAACCTTCGGCTTGACAGTTTCCTCAGGGTTTGATACAATTCCAGGCTCTTTCAGACTTCTGACTTTGCTCATTGCCATATCTTGGATGACACCCTTTTCTAATCCCTTTGCTGTCCACTCGGCTCTTGAGCTTAGTGACTACTGGCATCCCCCCTTGAATGGTTCTCAGTACTTTACCATGAGCTCTGGAATTTTCACAGAAAATTTGTCCCTCTCTGCTCTGCCTCCTGATTTTCAAGTCTTCTCATGGAAACTGAGCCACCATCCAAAGTCTCAAGTTGGAAATCAGGCAACCTCATTGATTGCTCTTTCTCTCCTAACTGACCTACTAGCTATCCTGAGTACAAATACACCCAAAACCAAACTACTAACTTTCAGTGTCGTGGGACCCAATAAATCCTAGCACAACCAGCACGTCCTTCACAGGGACTAGGCACTTTCAATCTGCTCTGCAAGCAGCCACTACAGCAACTTAAAACACACACTTAGTCTACTTCTGCCCCTCAAGAGCTTCTCACAGTGCTTAGGGCCAAGTCCAAGTATTTGTCTGGAGTTTTAAATCCCTGAATGAACAGTATCTTCCCATACTGTATGCATCCCAATGTACGTAAGTATTATCATGCTTTAGTCTCCGATGTATCAGCAGTTTCTTCTACTATCACTCTACAGTCTCTAACAGCTCAAGGACTGCTTCTGTTCTGAACACCCCACTAGAAAGAGCCTGACCCAGAGCATGAGGGAGCCCTGGGGAATATGTGTGGAAGAATTGATTAAATGATGAAGCAAGCCCTCCTACCACTTTTGTGTTAGCAGCAGCATCCTGCAAAATTGGAGCCTCCACCTCCACCCAACTAGGGCCCTGAGTGACCAAGCCCAGAGGAATTAAACAGGCCACCTATGGGATAGACTGCTCTCTCCTGGGTTCCACCTGAAATTATTTCAAATACAGAATGTAAAAACAATTTTAAAACATCGGTTCCACTCACAATAGCATCAAAAAACTAAAAAGACAATGCTAGGGATCAGTCTAACCAAGGAGATGAAAGACTTCTATCATGAAAGTCTCATAGCACTGTAGAAAGACACTGAAGAAGATACCATAAGATGGAAAGATCTCACCCATATGCATGGATTGTTAAATGACCACATTACCAAAAATGATCTACAAATTCAATGCAATCCCCATCAAAATACTAATGACGTACCTCATAGAACAAAAACAAAACAACCCAAACAATCCCAACATTCATATGAAAACACAAAGACCCAGAATAGCCTAAGTAATCCTAAGCAAAAAGAACAATTCTGGAGGTGTCACCTAATTTCAAACTGCACTATACAACCCAGTAACAATACAACATGGCAGTGGCAAGAAAACAGAGCACAGATCAATGAGACAAAACAGAGAATCCAGAAAGAAATCCAGGCAACTACAGCTATCTTATCTTGGACAAAGGAGTCAAAAATAATATACTGGAGAACAGCTTCTTTAACAACAGCACTGGAAAAATTGAATATACTCTTGTAGAAGATTAAAACTAGATCACTATCTTTCACCATGTACAAAAAAAATCAATTCAAAATGGATCAAAGATCTAGATTTAAGGCCTAAATCTTTGAAACTGCCATTAAAAAAAAAGAAAGAAAAAACCCACAAGGGATATACTTGAAGCCAAAGGCATAGGCAAAGACTTCCGGAATAGGATTCCAATAGCACAGGAAACAATAGCAAGACTCAACAAGTAAGAGTACATCGATTTAAAGGTTTCTGCACAGCAAGGGAAACAGCTAACAGAGTGAAGAGACAGCCTACAGAATGGGGGTAAGGTTTTGCCATTTACTCTTCCAACAAGAGGATTAATATCTAAAATATAAAAGGAGCTCAAAAAGCTTAATGCAAAAAATCAAAGTGCCCATTTGGTAAATTGGTAAATGAATTGAACAGATATTCTTCAAAAGCAGCAGAAATGGCCAATAAGTTCATGAAAAAATACTCAACATCTTTAGCCACTGGAGAAATGCAAATCAAACCTCATTGAGATTCCATCTCGCCCAAGTCAGGATGGCTATCATTAAGAATAAAAAACAAATACTGGCAAGGAAGCAGGAAAAAGAAACCCTTCTACACCACTGGTGGGAACGTAAATTGGTATGGTCAGTCGCTATGGAAATTAGTGTACAGGTTCCTCAAAAATACTAAACTGATCCTGGTGTAATGGTACACACCTCTGTAACCCCAGCACTCTTCGAGGCTGAGGCAAGGATAGTTAAGTTCAAGCTCCACTTGGGCAACTTAGTGAGACTAGTCAAACTAAATGGGGTATAGCTCAGTGCAAAGCACCTCAGTTCAATCCCCAGTACCTCAAAAAAGCAAACAGCCAAAAAAAACCTCAGAAGGACAAATATTACATGTTCTAATTTGTGAAATCTAAAAAAGTAGCGGGGAGGCTATTAGACAAGAGAAAGGGAATAAGGGGTAGAAGGCAGCAGATGTACAGGAAATTATGCATATAACAAAAATATACAGTTACAGTATATATTGAACCCAATATTTTATAAAATAGCTATTAATAGTAAGTGACAAGAGTAACTACTTCAAAATATTTCATGAAAGGTGAAATAGTGCAAAACCTATCCATGTTTCTTATTAAACTTATTTGCTCGTACTTTCTCTGCATATTCAGCTTTTATACGTACACATGCACACACACATGGCTGACATCTTTAAAAAGGAGTTGCAGATATCACTGATGGTTCACATCTAACTTCACATTTAGATGGTTGGTGTGAAAATCCAAAATACCAATATTTTATGCACTGAGCTTAGGGAACAAGGAAAATTCCACCTACAACATGTTAAAAAAAAAGTATGAAAGTATCTTCTGGCTATGTGTGCAATGTGTGTACACAACACAGATGAATTTTGTGTTTCAATATGGGTCCTATTCTCAGGATGCTCCATTATGTGTATGTAAACATTCCAAGTCCCATAAAGTCTGAAATCAGAAATACTGAATGAATTTTGGATAAGGGATACTCCACTTGTATCTACCACCTTAGCAATGTCACTGACACCCTCTTCTGAATCTAACTTTAATATTGTAACATCACCTAGGATGTAGTCCGCCATCACCTCTGTTTGTGGACAATGTCCTGTGGAAAAGCTGGGCCCCCGCAGCCCACCCCAGGACCACACTTTCACAGTGGTCTATTGTCCCTTTAGCCTCTTTTAATCTGAAAAGCTCTCCCTAGCATTCTTTGTCTTTCATGACACTGACATTTTGAAATGATGTCTTGTCAAATGTCCCACATTCTAGATCTGGTTGTTATCTGATACCACAGATTTTCTGATAGGCAAACACCCTTGCACCCAGGAATATGCAGGCACACACCTACACATATACAATCACAGAACTTAAAACTATTCAATTGTTTCAATTATGTTCTTAAAACCTATGATATGCTAGGAGATTTTACAGGATGGGGGGGCGGGAGGGGGGGAGAATCCTAATCTCTGGACTCTCCAGAAATGTTTCTTTTTACTTTCTTTCTTTTTTTTTTCTTTTTATCGGTACCAGGGATCGAACTGACGACCGCCTGCTTGCAAGGCAGGTGCTTATGCCACTGAGCTAAATCCCCAGCCCTAGAAATGTTTCTTTTTAAAAATCAAACTCAAAAAATAAGGCTGGACGTGGTGGCGCAGGGCTGTAATCCCAGCACTTGGAGCCTGAGGGAGGTGGATCACTGCAAATTCAAGACCAGCCTGGGCTACAAAGTGAGCCCTAGCCAGCCTGAACCAAACAGTGAGACTGTTGCAAAAAGGACAAAGACAAAAACAAAAATGAAAAAAACCCAGACCACACAACAGCTGTGGGCCTTGTTCTACACTGCAGAGAGCAAGGCTAAGGTGTGGCTAGCCCCCAAGTCCTCTCTACCCTACATAATTAACAGGAGCCACCCTGCCTGCTCATGGGACTAGAATGGCCCTGGGGATATCCAGGTGTGTGAATTTTCAAACAGTCCAGGCCCTCAGGTGACAGGTTCTATCTCCACCAAAGGACCTCACCTTTTTGAGGACCTGGGCAATTCCTGATGTTGCATCAAGCTCCGCTGCATGGGGGAGCTGAGTAGCCTGTCCTGAGCATGGGGACTCAAGGTGTCAGGATCCACCAAAATGTCCCGAGGATTCTGGACACCTGCCTAAATGCTTCCAGAATAACTTAAATGTTTTAAGTTCCGATGTGAGTGGCATGCTCGGAATGCTGGCAATGCACCTCAGGGCCAGTTCTGATTCCAGGGTTCCCTCACCAAAACAAACAACACGTACCCAGATATTCAGGACTTAAGATTGCTAAAATACTCCCCTCACTCGCTCTTTATTTTTAGAACATTTAATGCCTTATCACACTTAAAATCCTAAACACACAACCCAAATTCTTTGTCCTCAACTTCAACACCCACCCCAAAAAAAAAAAAAAAAGCCAAAGCAAATCAGAATTAAACACCCAAATAGTCAAATTCCCAAGAGCATCAAACCAGCTTTGTCTCAAGACATCTTTTTTGCTCACTTCTGCAGAGTTGTTATGAGTTTATGAGACTGCTTTGGCTTCTAAAGAGTTCATTAAACTCAAACGTAAATAACACCATAAATATTTTCCAGGTTGCACAAGACATGCAAGGGCTTGATCTAGCAAACAAGCATGTCCAAACTGCCTGATTTCTTCAAAGATACTTTTAATTGGCTTCCACCCAACCAAGCAGAATGTGAAGGACTTACTTTTTGGGAAGCCAAGTACTCCATGCCTCTGGCCAGCTGGTAGGTGCACGACACCAAGTCCTTAAAGGTCATCTGTTCCTCAGGAACACGGTTAATATCATAGGAGTATTCCATGCCTGGAGGCCTCCGTGCGCGAAGGTATTCCCGGAGGTTGCCTTTGGAGGCATATTCAACTATGACATAGAGGGGCCCTGTGGACAAAGAGGAGACTCCCTGAGGCAGCAGACTCTGGGCCACTCAGCAAAGGGCTTTTACTTCCTACACTCCACTGTGGGGTTCATGTTATTTTTGTTGGGCTGAGGACCAAAGTCAGGGTCCTGAGCACACTAGGCAAAAGCTGTCCCTCCCCCTGAACAACAGATACAGCCTTACTTTCCTTCTTGGTTTTACTGTGCAGAAACACACATATAAAAGCATACAACTCCATTCTAATCTCTCCAAAATGCTAATCTATCTCTGGTCATGAGGGCCTTAAAAGACTTTAAGAAGTAAAGATGCAGATGCACTGCCCCACCTCCATCGCTCGCCTTCTCTGCCCAGTGCCCTCCTGGAAAGCAACTATCAGAAATTTGCTCCCTCCAATTCATTTTAATTGTCCCACCTACATATATGCATCCATCAGAACCTTGTATTTTTACTCAGATAAATGAATAATAAAGATAGAACTCTGCAATGTTTTCCTTTGCACCTTATCCCTGTCACATCAAGATAGGCTGATCAAAACAAGTCTGTCATACAATTTATCCATTTCCCCCATATTCATGGGCAGTTAGGTGGCTACTAGGTCTCTGCTGTAATAGTGGGCAAAGAACATGCTGTGAATGTTTCCTTATTCATATGTGCTACCTAATCTCTTCATGCTATAGCCTGGGTTGCTAAACTAGAGTCCACAGGCCAATTCCTGCCCACGGCCTGTTTGGGTCATTAAATGTTATTGGCATACAGCCAATTCCATTCTTGTCTGTCTTGCCTAAAGGTATTACTGCCTCCTTATAACAGCACCAACCAAAAGTTACAACAAAAACCCTAAGGTTCATAAAAGTCCAAGGTATCCATAGTTGACCCTTACAGAAAAGGGTTGGCGATTCCTGCAGACAGCTCAAGGACAAATAGTTAATTCAGACATAGGCATCTCAAGTTCATTCACTACTGAATGAACCTCAAAGTGCCAGTAAGTATGCAAAGAAGGCCATCTGCCCCGCCCACTCCTGAGGAAGTGGGCTCCCCTAAACACTCCTTGCTTTCTTTGAAACTACTCTTGAGAGCTTGGCCCCCTACTGCCTATGGCAAGACCGGTGCTCCCCAATCTCTGTTTTAAGAGAAGACCTCAAACAGTCTTATTTTGAGAAATCTTGCTTAGCACTTAAAATAAATAAAGAAACCACCCTTCCAAATGGCCTCTAGGTTCTGACCCAAAAACCACAAGACCCTCCTCCTTCCAGGTTCCACTCATAGTTGGGAACATCTTCCTAAGTTTATTTTATTCTAGTTAATTAAATTTTTTTTAGTACTAGAAATTGAATATAGAATCTTACACATGTTAGGTAAACATTCTGCTATTGAGCTATATTCCCAGGCCCCTAAAGGTATTTTAAAGAGAACTTTAAACATGCACTTGAAGCATCCTGGGAACAAGATCCAGAAATGTGACTGCTTCTTGAATGATGCTAACATTCACTCTCAGTGTGTGCCTGGGAAATGTTTTCCTCTGACTCACCATCCTGTGTGCAGGCTCCTAGAAGATTGATGATATTTTTGTGTTTTCCAATCATCTTCATCATCTCCATCTCTGACACTAGATCAGAAAGATCTTTCTCCGTGGCATCATCTGTGAATATCAGGTGACTCACAAATCAGTTAGTTGCCTCTAACTCATGGGCTATCATTATTAGTGGCCAAACAAGTTTAAAATACGTAAAACTGAATTTTAGAATGAAGAAAGACTTTCCCAATACTTCTCTCATAAAATCTGCGAAGGGTCAAATGTTCAGGAATGCTCTGCTCCATGTCAAAGAGTTCACTGGGGGTCAGTGGGGTCAACAGTCAGGACTAGTTATGTGTAGGCCAAGACTTTTGGAGCAAACCTTACAAATCTATGTATTTTTCCTCCATGGTGAAATAATCCCATCATCTTCCATATGCAAGGTACCTTAAAAAGCACCCCAATTTTTATGGTGTCCCAAAGCAACTGCTGATTAGACAAGAAAAAACAATAGGGACATTCTGAATCACTACAGACTTTTACCAGTGCAAGGTTCCTAATCCAACTTGAATAGCGTTTAGCACATTCAAGGATAAGTCTGGAAGGTACCCTGCAACTGAGTACTAAGTGCAGGCATGTGTTAAGAGCTGGTGAAGGGCCATGCCTCCCACTGACTTCTCAAAGGGGTTCCAAAAGTGTCATACCAAAAGAAAAACAAAAAACAAAACCACTGGTTTAACCCTGTGATCTGTAACTTCAAATATGGGGGCTGGGAATTTAGCTCAGCAGCACAAGCACCTGCCTGGCATTCATGAGGTCATGAGTTTGATTCCCCTCCCAAAAAAAAAAGACATTCATAATTTCAAATATGAATGGCACAGGCTATGCACACACAGGCTCACAATGAACTCTGAGCAAGTGGCGAGACTGTTCCCACATACCCTCCTCAAACTAACTTAGTGTGAAAAAGCTGGCTGGATGAAAAGAAAGTGAAGTAGAGGCATGGATAGGCTCCGTGCTGCAAAAAGCTTTTCAGCTACATGAAAGGAAAAGTAATACAATTGTCTGTGTGCAAAATCTACTCTGACATATAGGGCAGTAAGGCGCAGGTAGGTCTCGCTGGCTCTGGGCCACCACTGTCATCAAGCACATGCCACAAAGCCACTGGGGCTAAGGTTCATGTGTATCCTGAAAGAGAAGATGGCCAGCCCTTGCCTTATAAGAGAAACAACCTTTTTTCTCCAATAGCCCCAGATCATGCTATGCCCCATGACAAAACCAGAAAACCTGCTAAAAAACAAAACATGGAAGCCATGACTGCCCCTGGTAGGTATCCACGGTGGCCTCCAGGCTGATGTCCACATACCTGGCATATCCTTCCTGGCAATCAAGCCCCAAAGTGAGAGGATCTCAGAATATCAGATTTCCCTGCGAGTCTCAGATCAATAGGCAAGAGACAACATCACAGCTTTGTACTCTTTGTAGCCTACTCCTCCTTCTTAGGGACAGTTATGGTGAGTGTCCCGTGAGAACCCAAGGAAGAAAGAAAGACTAACTCAGAGCACATCCCACGTCCCAGTGAGAGGCTCTGTGACCTGGAAATGATGGAAACACTCAGCTTGGAACCTCTTTTCTGAGATCTCTACAAGATTTATAATGTGACCGTTCCCTATAACTCTTCCTGTAAAAGAATACTACGGGAGAAGAAGTTAATGGTTAAAGGTTCTTTAAGCTCTTTACACACGAGCATGAAGCAAGGATGAAAGATTCGTACAGAAATAGTCAACTCCCATGAGCACAACTCAGTGTTTGCATCTTGCAGTCATTATTTACATGTATGTCACCAAGGCTCTGCACCAGTCCCACCAGCTTGGTCTCTTTTTTAGCTCTTACGTGGCTCCCCTAGATTGACTGATTATTTATGTTCTGCTCCTTGTGCAAAAAAGAAGCCATTCTGCTTCCTGAGCATCTTACTCACATCCCATATGCCAATATCTCTTTATTTGTAGGTCAGAGTTTGGGTCCTGAACCCAATGTACCAACTCCATCTAAATCCATCGTTTGTAATCAAGTGACTATTTCCTAAGCCCATAGAAACACAGAGGGAGTGAAGAACCGTGGTCCAAACAGAATGTGCATAGAAGGAATCAAAGTAACAGCTCAATCTTGGAGGCTACCACTTGCTAACAAAACTGGCTTTTCTTTTTTATAAGTACAGACCACTCAAGATAAATAGTCTGTCTAAGATGCTGATTTATCCTGAAAACTCCTCAGCCTCTCGGTCAACTATGTGCTCTCTGACCCCCTGCCATGACAGAGTTCACATGCCATAAAAGGAACATTCTTGATAAGCCTCTCCACTCTCCCCACCCCCACCACTTCTCCGCTTACCTTTCAGCATCTTCACTGCCACGGTGACTGCCTCCTTGGGCTTGTCTTTATCGATTCCCACTGCTTCCGCCATGACCACTTGCCCGAAGCAACCTTCCCCAAGGGGTTTGCCCAGCGTCAGCCTAAGTGTGTAAATAGGGGATTAGCACAGGGCATCTGTGGAGGGGTGTGACGAGGAAAATTCCGAAATTAAATATAAAAATCTTTCAGCAGCTTGCAAAAGCATAGTGTATTTATCATATGGAACTAATGAGACTTAGGGTACACACGTGCTGGAGTATTTTCTTAGTGACGTTTTAGGGAATGTCAATTACTGGTGGAACAGCTATTAAATTTCACATTTGTAGTCTTGATTTATTTTCTTTATGGAAGGCATCCTTGCTAGCGAGGTGGGCAGCCTGCCTGAGTGCCAACAGTGTGGCGCTTTTGATGTTGAACCAATTAAATATTTGTAATTTAGAATGTCTCAGAGAAAAACATTAAGCCTTTTCTTTTCTCCTTTTTTTGGTCCCTGTAAAGTGGCAGCTTTAAAATCACTATTATTCAAATACCAGTGGATTTTACGGTTACATTCCTTGCCAAGTTACAGGATATGAATCTTAAAGGCATTTCCAAGAATCTCTAATTTTTGCTAAAGAACACTTTAGAAAATAGGGTGAATTTTTTTAACATCAACTTAGATGAAATCCTTATGATTATGCAAAATTAACAAAGAAAATCTGAAGTGAACATCGCAAGTTGTGTCTCTAAGCTCAGAAGCCCTATGCACAACATGTGAGTTGTCATATATTACCTTAGACATTCCAGAAAACAATAGAAAGGAGAAGTCTGGAAGACTTATGAATGTGGTTTTCTAACTTAAGCATAACACAGTCAAGTACTGAGCTGCGATTAGCACACAGTATTTACGGTAAGTACACAATGGTTTGCAAAAGGTCAGTAGAAATAGTGAGGTCAGCATATGTTATGCTGAGGTCATCCCGTTTCTATACAGAACTAAAATTAAATTTAACATCTTGGCAGAAAATAAACATTTGCATTGGAAAAATGACCAATTTATGTCCCATTGCCCTGCTACTACAAGCATAACAATTCTCTCTTTGTATAACTTCTGCCTCCAATCTAATAAACTGCTTCTAAATAGCCTTCATTCATTGAAAATCTGCTCCACCTACGTTTGTGCTAAACACTGTTTGGAAACGCATAGCACTCAGATTTTCCACACTCGGGGTACCCCCAGGTGGGAGCTAATAGTTCAACACATACAGACTCCCACTGTTGACTGCAGTGTCACAGGTGGCAAAAACTACAGGCAGAACCTGAAAGCTGCAAGTTCTTAACATATGATCACAACTGCCCAATTCAGTCCTGCATACATAGGAATGTGCATATGAACCCAACTACTTATATAATCATGCACAGCTAGGGGCTGGCTGGGTTCACAAGAAACACCCCTTCCTCTCTGCACATTCTGCTCGAAAAGAAACCATTCCTTGTATTTTCTGTGGTGTCTCATCACTAACTGTCTCATAAATGTGTCTTGAAAGAATGAACTATTTTTCCACTACTACACCAATAAACTGGGAATTATTTCCAATAGCATTGTAACTGAATGATGCCTAGATAATTATTCATTTCGAGCTTAGGATACACATTAGTATCTCCACACTGGCTGTTGGGAAACAAAAGCTATATGAAGTTGCGTAAATCAAAATCACAAGTGCCATGCAAGCCATTTCTCCTTTCCAAACAGAGCTTGTCATATGCGGTCTCTGGAAAAGCTTATCTTTGTGTTTCTAAATCTGTGTATGTATATACAAGAAGTGTATATTAAACATGTAACATAATCCCAGGGAGACACTGCAAATGTCAAGACAAATGGGTAGCTGTTTATTAGCAAGGCAAGAGCTAGTTCAATTTATCTGATGCAAAAAGAGTCAGCATTTCTACCCTACATGACTCCCAAGCTGTTCAAACTCTTAATTAGTACTTAATTAGTACTTAGAGACCCCTGAGTAAGCTGCCATCTCTTCAGTGAAATTCACTTGGAAGGCGTGGTTAGGGGTGACCTCTGCCTAGGGGAGGGAGGCTGGCAGCACACGCTCTGCACATTTGGCTCTTGCCTAAGACAACCATTTCCCTGGGGTCTGCAATTCAGAGCTCTCAGATTACCAAGACATAAATGGAAATGAGGGAAACTCCCTTGGCCACGAGCTGCGCTGTCATGGGAGGTACAGTATATCCTATGTGTCTCATTACCCTCATTTCATAAGAATGAAGTTCAGAGAGTAGACACTCACCCAAGGCTGCCCAGCCACTGGCTGGCAGAGTCAGATTAAAATCCAGCCCAACAGAGCCTATAGTAGACGAACATGTCCAAATTGAGACGAACATGTCCAGATTGAGATATTTGGCTCCTAGCAATGCCTTCAACAAAGACCAAATGGCAGCTCTTTGACTAAATATCTTATTGGAACACCTCTATACCATCCAATAAGGAAATTATTATGGACCACAAAAGTCAAACACAGGTCCATACTTCAAGCTTTCATACCAGTAGGATATTAATACCATTAAAAATAGCAACACTTGGTGAAAGATTCTAAAGGCAAATTATATTCTACACCTAATTCCTCCAAAGAAATAAACTACAGAACAGTAATTTTCTAATAACCGGAAGTCAGAATGTCAGATCTATTTTATAGATTGGATAATTCTACTTTTATTTCATTCGGCTGGATTTGAATTGTCTAGAAATTTAAAAAATGACAACCAGATGCCATCTTGTTTGGAGACAGGTTAGGACTCTGTAGTTCTTCTTTAAAAGAACTATCTTTTTAAAAAAAAATCCATTCTTTTCTTTTCTAGGAGTTGGTTATTTAGAAATATAATCTCACTTGTACTGACACTGTCAGAGCAACACCTTTGCTGTTAAAGATTATAAAAGAAAATGTCAATTCAATATTCCCACTTATATCAAAGTTTCCATTTAAGGAGAGGCCCAGCAGTACTCACTTATCTCTGGGGAACTCCCATTTTGGATCCTCTGGCAGTTCATACTCAGAGACCCCAGCCAGCATTGGGGTGTCTGCTGTTGAGGAGAGACGTGTTGTTATCCTCACCAGTGGGGTGTTGGAGTTCATGGAGGAGCTAGACTCAGCAGAAACCTGGATACAAAACACAAAGACACAGATGTAATCCTGGGTCTTACCTGAGAAGGCTGGAAGTGAGCCAGAGCCCAGCCAGAGCATCAGTTCTTAGAAAAGAAATAGACAGGGGCTGGACAAAGTCATAAACCAAAACAAAAACCACTGGATTCTGATTCCCGTATTCTTTCATCTATGCAGTACCAGATTTTGCCCACAGTACATGTTCCTAAGATCATGTTCTCAAATGAAAAATTTTATGTGAGTCTGACCAAACTGTAAGTCTGTTTTCTATCCTAATTCTTCATGATAGTCACTTGAGGAAATGTATCCAGACCTCACTGGCTTCATTATGGCCTTAGTCTGTACCACAGCCCTGGATAATCACACTCCTCTCGGACCATGGATCAATACAGTGGTCATGAAATTTCACAAGGACTTTTACAAAATGAGCTCCTCCCCATCTCCTGTGTTTCTGGAAACATAAAGCAGACCATTTCAAGGAAATAACTCTAAGATTTGAATGTGAAAGATGTTCTGCTAGCTCCACACCCTTTTCTCAAGGTAACTCAGGACCCGGACACTGGGAAGTATTTCGTTTTTTTGCCCAGACCTTCTGGATACTTGTTTATGATCAGGCCATTTGGTGAAATCAGGCTGCCTCTTGTCAACTTCAGCTTCTAACACCAGTGCACGGGATGTGCAAAACAAAAGTCATGGAAAAGAAAAATACATCTTTATTTATAATCATATACGAGAGCTTCTCTCCCACCTAGCAGCATGCAAGACTCCCTTATTTCTTCATTTACTCTGCTGATCCATTTCAGTTTGTGTCTGACACAATGATTATTTCTTAAACAGTCTCCCCTTAGCTGGTTTCTGTGAAAGAAAAATGTATGCAGAGCCTACCTACCTACCTAAAGGATACTTCTGAGTATATCTACACAGTCTTGATGTGATCTTAGGATGCTTAAATACCGCCTTATTCTAAACCAGGAATAAGACTTTAGCCCAAGATAGTTAGAATGTGAGGTTAGCTATAAGTGGTAGATATGTGTAATTCCAGCTCTCTGAGGGGCTGAGGCAAGAAAATTGTAAATTTGAGTTCAACTTGGGCAACTTGGCAACTTAGTGAGACCTTGTCTCATAATTTAAAAAAACAAAAATGGCTTGGAGTAGAACTCAGCACTAAGGTCCTGGGTTCAATTCCCAGTACAAGGAGATGGGGAAGGAGGGAGGAAGAAGGAGGAGAAGAAGAAGGAGAAGGAGAAGCAGGAGGAAAAGTGGATGAGAAGAAAGAGAAGGACGAGGAGGAGGAGGAGGAGAAGGAGAAGAGTGAAAGAGAAAAGGGGAGGGGAGGGCTAAGAGAGGGACACAGGGAGACATGGAGAAGAAGAGAGAAAAAGAAAAAGAAAGGGAGAGAATGTGAGGTTAACATGAAGAATTCACATAGCATACCAAGCCATCTTAGTTTTGGCTTTTGTCTCCTGTCTAGGATGACAGTACCCACAGCTATTATTGCAAATACCTCTTCTACCAAGCTGGCAAAGATTGATTTGAGAGACAAACTTAACACAAACTTTCACAAGCTCCTCTAGGCTCCTCTCACCCGGAATCAGAGGACCCTTCCTCCCCAGCATCACCTTTTTTGGAAAGCCCCAACTTTCTGTTTTGTAAATCCAGACTACACTTTATATAGGTTGGAAACTCAAGGAGATGCTCAACAATAAATTGGGAAGAAAATTAGTTTACTGACATTAGATTGTTTTCAGTATTAAAATCAAGAAATAGGCCACTTATAGGATTTCCATTATCTTTTCAAAGTACACAAGACTACATTTCTGATAAGCCTTTTGATGGGGGAAAGGTGGGAGGGCCATTTACTATGCAGATGTTTATTTACTGTGAAATAGCAAAATTTTTAAAAGGGGGGGGGCTGAAAAACTGATAGTGTGGTAATCGAGAGCCTTATTCCCAAGTATCCAAGTTCTGAATGTAAATGTAAGAACAAGCCAAAAAAAAAAAAAAAAAAAAAAACAAAGGACAAGGTAAATCTACTTCTGTACAATCCACTTCTGTTTCCACTCACAGTCCAGGCTAGGTAGAAGCCCTTCTCTGAGCCTAACAGATGATATTCTAGTTTCCTTCATAGTTGACATGTGTCCAGCCTCATGACAGAAAACCAACCTCATCTGTAGGATGCATAAGAAACACCAAAATTTTCAATTTCCATCAATCACATAAGCACCTTCAGCTTCACCTACAGCAAAGGGAGTACAGAAAGACTCAGAAACAGATTTGGCCAATGAGGCTTCCCCAAGTCTTTCTTCCCACCTAACTCATTCTGTATCAATGCCATGTGTTTGCTAAAGGTACCTGGTCTTTAAAAAAATAAATCAATAAAAAGGTATTCCAGGAAGTTCTTGCACATAAACAGGCAAAAACTGCCACTCCTTACAATGGAAACTTGTGCTTGAAGATCAGAGGCAAGAAGTTCCAGCCAAGCTAGTAAAAGTCGGCCCAGAGATGAGACAATACAGGCCTCATATGGCCCAGGTCCAGCATATTCTGCAGCCAGGACACTCTGCAGGACCACCAGCACAGCCCCTCTTCACTGGACAGCAGAGTTCCCAAGACTGTACTGCTGGGCGCATGCGTGCTGTAACCAAGGGAGGAGGGAAACTGATTGGGCAATCACTGGAGGTCACCGTGCTGGACAACACCAAAGTCCGCAGAACTTAGGCACATCGGAGCTTCTGTACCTTGTCCCTAAAGATCACGACACCTCTCACAAAAGCTTCCAGAATAGGATGTGAGAAAAGTAGCTTTCCTGTAGTGAGGGTGACGACAGACATTTAAAACATTTCTGGAAGGATATCTAAGTGTTAGCAGTGGTCACCTTTGGGGAGAGAGATCGAAAGACTGGAGGAAAGGGCAGAAGATATGTCTCATTTCAGGACATTCTAGACCATTTGGATTTTATTACCATGTATGTATTTTTCTTTTATGTTTTAGGAGAAGCACTTTCTTCAACAAAAATATTTCTTTTAATAATAAGAATCTGAACTGAGGCATGAACAAAGAGAAAAGAAAACGGAGGGCATATGTGAGGAATGTATCAACTTCTAAAGTAGGTTAGAAATGGCAAGACTATTGCTTTTATTCCCCTTTTCAGCTCCCAGGTTATGTTTTATGGCATCTCTGCATCCTTCAGTGGGGTCACTCCAATGACTGCCCACAGTGAAGCAACTTTAGCTGCTGCCTGGGCTTGGGGTACCTGCAGCCCTCCACCAACAAGGGATTCCATGATCCAACTGTCAGGGTTCATGTCCTGGTTCTCAGATATCCTTATGTGAGCTTTGGGAAGTCATGTAACCTTCCTAAGGCCAAGTTTCGTCATCTGTTAAATAAGAGATAGGCATCTCAGAGTTAACAGGAGGATGAGATGAAGCAAAAACCAGCAAAATCCTTGCTGCTGAGCTGGGCCCTCAGAAAGAGCTCAGTTACATTTGCTACCTACACCACAGTATTTTTTTCCTTGGTATCTTTAGAATCACTGGTGCACAGGTCCCTCTTTGGATAAGTTAGAGTATTTGGAGACTGGGGTTTAGATACTATCAAGCTATGCACAAGGAGGGAGACAGCCTGGTGACAATAAGAGCAGCAACCTGCAGAACAGGTCATACCTTAACAGGCACATCTGATTTGGAAGTTAAGGCCCTCCTTTCCTGGCTAGGATGTGCAAGAGCTCCAGCAAACAAGAAATAAAGAAGGAAGGTAAACTGGCAGATAACTAAATCCTACTGACAAGCAGGGCTGTTTCAGAACTGAGAAATGTAATGCTTGGTCAGAAGTCAACTGCTCTGCGGTGAACCTCTGACCCAAAGGGACTCTGTAACCACAAACACAAAGCACAGCGTGGCACATGTGCACACCATCTCCAAACAGCATCTCCCAAAACTCTCTGTGAGGTTTCAACGTGAGAGCTTCTAAAATGGAAAACCTAAAAAGAAAAAAACGTAACACTAATGACTGAAACAAGATGGAAGACCTGTACAAACTTTTATTACATAAAATGATATTACTTTTGGAAATTTGGTTTACTTTTGGAACGTTTACTTTTGGAAATTTGGTTCAGATAAAGTGTAGAGATCAGATTAAATGCAGAAAATGTTTTTGTAAAAACCAAGTTTAAAAAGGGGGGGGGGGGGCGGGTAAAAAATGCCCAAAGTAAAAGCAAGTACAGAATCCGATCATTCTGTCTACTGAGGTACATCTTAATTTTACCTCCATGTATTTTACTAGGTTTTAAAAATCCCCTGTGGGACTGTAAAATATAACTGGCTTTCTCTTCACTCCCTTCCCCTCTAAAAACAAATCTGTTTGGAGGGCTCGGCGTGATCCCTGGCAGGTGGCTTCCCCCAGGAACACTGTTTCGGGGGCCCCTTTCTTCTGAATCATGTCCCCTCTGCCCACCTTGGAAGTCTTCCTTTAGCAGTGTTAGGTTATCATTTTTCTTTTTCATGAAATCATAGTTTTCCCTCTCAGTCTATCTACAGACCTTAATTCTGGAGTTTCAATTCCTTTTTAAAAAATATTCCATTGGGGCTGGGGATTTAGCTCAGCGGCATAAGCACCTGCCTTGCAAGCAGGCAGTCATAAGTTCGATCCCTGGTACTGATAAAAAAAAAAATTCACTGTTAATGAATAATTAGTTACTTATAAATTTAAAAAAAATGCTAAAACGTTAGTAAACTATTTTCCTCAAGCAAATTTTGGCAGGCATTTTTTTAAAGCATATATTTTCATGGTCTCCAATTTAGCTTCTTTACTTTCGAGAATCTCTTTACCATGTGCCATAAATCAAACTTTCAACTAAATGAGCTTTTCGTGTATTTCCAAAGTGCATATGGGAGATTAAGAGAGGGCTTTTCTTTTTCTTTTTCTTTTTAAAGGGCCACCAAGAGAGAGTGTTATCTCTTTTTACTGTATTAAAGTTAATACCTGGAGGGAACCTCAGAGGTCAGAGGTGAGAGAAACAAAGATGCTAGGGGGGAGATATGATGCAGATGTGCGCATTTTTTCCTGAGAACGGACAGATACCCTTGGGCCACAGCCTGCCAAAGAAATTGTCCACCTCTCGGACCCCAGACCTAGTTTCTGGAACCAGCACAGAAAGCCCAGTGTGCACATACTCCCACCCCACCATCTGCCTCGCTTACCAAGCCCTACGACCAAAAAAATGCTTTTGTCACATCAAGTGGGGGCCAAAGCTTCATGAGGTTTTTTGAAGTTGGATTTTTTTCCCCATTACAAAAGCGAAAAAAATTAGATAAGGAAGTTGATCAGACACTCAAGTTTCTACCTTAATAAGCCTCCTCTCCTAGACCTCCTCCAGACTCGAGCAATGTGTCACTGCAATGATGTACCAATCCAGATTCTACTTAGAAGATCTCATCACCAAATTCTAGGACTGACCTTGGTCAGATCGGCATGTCACTCTGAGGCTGAGAAAAGAAAAGCCTGGTAGAATCGGGGGAGGGCAGGGAGGCGCCAGCCAAATTGGCAGGTCCCAGTCAGGTCAGCCATGACCACTCTAATTACCCAAATGCTTTCTGAAGCCAGTGAGTGAGGTTTCATTAGACCACCTGACTGACTAAACTACTAACAATATTCCAGGATGGTAGGGCTCAGCTACCCAGCAGCAGCAAGTTTCTAGGAGTTCGGTCTCTTTATTGACTATCAGTACACAGCCCTAAGAACTTCCTCCCAGCCATGAGCTCTTCCTCTTCCTGTCTGCCCCACTCCTAACACCCCCAGGGAATGCCATGTGCCTCAAAGGTATCATTACCAGAGTGCTCTCTGATTTTCATTCTGCCTTTACCTGCAGCTGCAAGGGTGAAACGAAGTCTGAGTAAAATACCTTGCAGCCCTTGTGAGTTGCTGAGGGAGATGGAGACACTGTGAGCCCCACAGGATTCATTTAATCAGAGCCAGGCCAAAGATAGTTAAATTTCCATCCCACCTAAATACATGGCTGCAGAAAATAAAACTGACACAATCACAGAAAAACCTACTCACCAAACCCACTGTGTCTCCCGCACAAGCCACCTTGGACTCCTCCACGTCCCCCTTTGCACCTGCTCCTGCTCCCACTGGCATCCCTCAAGTGACTGGTGGGAGTCACAGAAAGTGCAGCCATCCCTCAAACTCAGGTCATGCACAGGTGGCTTCAGAATGGCCATTCCCTGTCCAGCAGGCCTGTACAAGAACCAAGAGGCTCACAAAGATGCCAAATCAACACACAAGGGCCGAGAAGTGGAGGCAGGTGAGCAGGTGCCTCACATGGTCTCCCAGCCCTGCTCTGATGGAACATGAGCCTTGGTCAAACAGGAACAACCACATGCATCTGCCTCTACCATTGGAAAGTTGCTTCCTTTTCTCCAGGCATCAAAGCACATCAAATATCAAAAAGTCATAGCTGGAAAAGGTCTAAGGCTAAGGAACCTGCCGCTAAACTGGTCTAAATGTACTCTTTCAGTTTTCTGCACATAAAAATAATAGATTGTTCTAAATCCATTGTGAAAAAAAAGAGTCACAGTTACTGAAGGATGAACACAGGAATTTCTTCTTTGGCACCAGAAAAAAAATCTCTTAGTGTCAAAAACATAAACTGGAATGTCTGTTGTATAACAGTAAGTCCAGTGTGGATTAGTGCATGTTAAGAAAAAACTAACAGTAAATACACAAACACAAATACACACACACACACACACACACACTGCTTTTCCTACAAAGACAGCAGTGATGGAGTGAGTAGGTACAGAGAGGCTACATAAATACATGTTAAGGAAGGGAAAGGGTCAGAGCCAGGAAGACAGAATGCGAATTCTACCACGAAGATACTGAGTATTACCTGTCAGACAGGAGGAGGCAGGGCCAGTGCAGAAGGAAAAGCGGCCTTATGAACACCCAGAAGCAACAAGTCCTCGTGACATCTGATTAAGGTGAGCCTGTCTCCAAGTAAAAGCATCCTTGGCATCCTTGTGGTATTCACTCTGTCATCAGCTATCTGCAGCCCTTTGTGGGGCTTTTGTTCCAGCTACCGTCCAATTACCCTTCTCTCCAGAAACTAGATCAACATCTCCCTTCTAAAGGGACATGATTAGTAACAAGATGATCTTTGGGAATAATTCATAAGGTACCAAGAGCTAAAGCATATCAACACCCTTCCCAAATAAATTAATCTCCCAGACACTGAGCTTTCCAGAGTGACTGGTATTGCTTACTTTTTTGTTTTTCTTATACTATAGTACTTAACCCTTTTGAAACACAAGGTAATTACATTTCAAACAAAGGCTCCCCAAATAACCCTAGAGCCACTGACAAATGTGACAGGCCATGTTTTATGTGGAATCTGCTTTAGATAAATTATAGTAAATTACAATGAATAAGAGAAAGGAAGGAAGAAAGTGAGGAATAAGAGAAGGAAAGAAAATGAAGAAAGAATCCTAATTTTCCTTTGGTTACAAAGGAATATGAGAAAAATGACCACAGAGAGAGAGACAGACAATGAAGAAACACCAATCAGTTAAAAGAAAAGGAAAACATAAAGAACATGGCTGTACTACTAAAGGGATTTTCATTGCTTTCTTTTTTAAATAAAAATAAATAAATAAAATTAAAGAATAAAAGGATTTTCAGGCCATACCTCTTTTTTATGAAGTTAAAAAAAAGTATTATAACCATTGCCCCCCAGGAATGAAATAACTGTGGGACGATGGTCTAGTTACACTAAATTATAGGTTTCCTACTTTTCTCTCTTAGAAAAAAAAAATTAGTAGAGACAGAGGTTCCACTCCCTGATTTCAACTCTCCAGGCCTGACTCCCAGTATGGAAGCTATAAAGAATTGCCCTGAAGACACAGCACTACTGGGCTACCTAAGTGCTATCTTTCAAAAGGATTCTAGAAGAACTGGCCAGGAACTGGTCTAACACCATTAGTGTGCCTCCAGCCACATGAATGACAACGATCTCACTCCAAACAATAGCATTCTTGGTGGCAGAATAGACCCAATTGGCCTATTTTCTTTCCTCTATGCTCTTAGCAGTTCGGTCATTCTCAGTACTAGACATACACTACAAATTTTTCAGCCTCCAGTCAGAAGAGGCACTAGGAAACGGCTTCAAAGACTTTAACAAAGACACACACGCCTGAAGTTGGAGATAGGTTAAGAACAGTCTGACTCTCTGACAAAACTACTCAAAAGGTCTACAGAAAAGAGCTACTTTAAGTCCCAGAGAGAGATGGGGAAGAACCTAGAGTTTCTTAAATGACTTTTATAATGACCTAGGGATTTGTTTAAAATGTAGATTCAAAGCTCCATTCAAGATCTACTGAACAAGAATCTCTGGGGCTGAGACTGGGGAATTTACAACTATAAAAAGTATAAATTCTACATAAAACACATACTGAATGAGTAAGTTGGCCATTTCTCTATTAAAAAAAAAAAAAAGCAAAAAAATCCCCCAACTTCATCGGAATCAAGTTTTAAATACTCTCTCACAGACTTTGCATTCACACATGACTTCTCATCTCTCTTCATGAACAAGAAGAAAAGAGTCAAAGTATTTCCTCTCTAATCCATCTTTGCAGGGCTTTGGTTTATGGTGGAAGCTTTATTTTGCCCCACTCTTTCCAAACCAAAAATAAACCAGGAACAGCAGCCACCAAGGACCAAACCCAAGGTTAAAAGCAATCCTTTGCCAGTTGCACATAAAAAGTATTCTACTACCAAATCCACTGCCACATCTGTGAGTTACTGACCATAACATAATGGTATCTGTACACAAAGCTAGGTCAGTAATTGGAGGATTCGATCAAAATTCGGTTTAGAAAAAAAATCATGGGCCAGTTCAAAGCAAGCAGTAGTTCATTTATACCCAAGTCATAGGTTTCTAATCTTGACTTAAAAAAAAATAAATCAAAGCATATTAGTCTCTTTGACACTAGTAGTATAAGCCACATCCTAATATTCATGCCTACCTCAGAAACAAAAGAAAGGGAAAAAAGAAAAAGCATTTGATCATAAGAGGTAAAAATGACCTAAGCTTTGTATTTTAGTCCCATCAAGTACACACCCAGAGAACTGCTTCTGGTGCTGTCTCCCGCCCTGCTGATCAGCTCTCTTAATTTTTTACTTTAGTCCTTTCCTGCCTTTGGAACTAGACCCACCTGCTGACCCCAGTGAAACAGTACAACTCGGACCCTCAAAGTTCCAAACGCTAATTAGATGACCACCAAGAGGCATATTGGAACCATCTGCACACTACGCTCACAGCAGTACATGGCATCAAAGCAGGGGAAGAGATCAAGAGCTGGCTGGGTCACGGGGAGGAGTAAATTTCTTTAAACTCTTTATCTACTTTCTGTTACCTGTCTCCGCAGGGGGATGCGCTTGGTCAGCTTGTGCACAGCCGGCTGGCTGCTGAAGTCTGGCTTCTTGGTCGTGGTCTTCATTCGGCACACGATGACTGTCACCACCATACAGGCGATTAAGAAGACCCCTATGCAGTAAATGGCTATCTCCAGATAATCTGGGGAAGGTGTAATCTCCTTTTCTCTTACAGGAGCTAGATTGTAGATTATAGGTGGGAAGAACAGATAAGCAGGCCACAGAGTTAGGACATTAGAGTAATGCGTCATAACATTACTACAGGAATTAAAGGCAATGACCAGTCTCGAGGTAAGGTGGGCTTCCCAATAACTCAGTGCAGCAAGATGGTAGGAAGCACAGGTGCACCAGTATTTCTCACTTTACCGCGGGCCCAGGTCACTATCTCCAGTCTTAGCGGCTATCTGCCATCAGTGAGCAGTTGACACCAAGTACCAAAAGGCAGGCTACAAGGCCATACTCTATTAGGCTTCTGGGCAGAGCAAGACCAAGAACTGCACCCCTAACAAAGGACTGCTTCTCAAGACGGCCTCTGAATATCAACCAAGCTGAAAAATGGTGAACATGAACATGCCCATTTTGTTTCTAGGAGATAGTGACCATGCGTCAGTCTTCCTGGGGCAGGCTCTTCCAGAGAAAGGCTCAGTGAGCCGATTCACCCATGAACACAGCTCCACATGAAATGACTATTCATGCAGTAGGTGCCCCAAAAAAGTTTTAGCAGCTTATTTAATATACTCCAGCATGTTATTTAATTAAATAAATCAATGCATTTACTATACAGACTGGATTGTTTATAGGAAATCATTACATTCATAATAAAACTGATGGCATTCCTTAACCATAAGAATTTTGTATATCTGCTCATACTGATTAATCACTACAATTTTTCCCTTATGAAAAAATATAAATGTGAAAATATACAGATAAAATTAATTTAGCACCTTCTCATATTAATTTCCAATAATGTTGTGCTCTCCTTTGTCCTCAATGGTCAATCTATAAGCAGTGTATTCCCAAGAGGCATTTTTCTCAAACTGCATTCTTAGGCAACAGGCTAGTACTGTCAGGCAAATTGGTTAAGAAGTGCCTGCGAGGCACTTGCACAATGCAGTACTGCAAGTAAAAGCAAGCTCAACAGCAATCTCATTGTTTCAAAGCAAATATTCACAGAGCAAATTCACAATAAAAGGGAAAATGGATGCAATGGTATTAAAGCTTATACATTTTAATCAGAAAAATACTTGCGAGGTAGTCAAAACTCTCAGCAGCACAGCACAAAACGAAATGATCAATCTATTTTTACTAGATACAAAACAAGCATGCAGGTAGCCACTGTATTCTAAAAATAAAGAGTTAATAACTGGAGTGGAACATCATAAGCTAGCAAACCACAATCTATGCAAGTTTCACAAAGGAAATAATAAAGAGGCAGCAGCATCAGAGGAGACAGTTCATAAACCAGAGATGTCAGTTAAAGACTTAGACAACAGGGCTTTGCTGATGTTTATTTCTCCACGGGGTGGAAATAACATCAAGCCCAAGATGGCATGAGCATGCGCTGCAGTAAAAGCAAACTAAGAGTCCATTCTATTGCAACATGCAACAAGCCACCGATTCCCAAGGTAGGTAACACACTGCTTCTGTACACCTGCATTCAGAGGTGCTTCCCCCGGGCACCCTAGGATACATCCATCTACTTACATCTTCTTAAAGATACAAAGCGGGTCAAGAAGAATAAACCACATATGGGATTTCAGCAAAGTGGAATTTGCAATGAGAAAAAATTACTTTGCATTTTACAAAGTAATTTCAACTTCTGTAGAGAAAAGGGAATGGACTAATTTATATATTGGCTAAAAATATTCTGATCCCATTGGATTTTAAGGGTGATCATAAATGAAGTATGGGATCTCCTTGTAACTGAATTTCTAAGACAACTTTCTTATCGCTGGGGGATCATTTTGATTTTTTTAATTTATTTTTATGCAAGGATGAAAGGGGCTCTTTCTGAGAACAGAAGCTGTGTTAATTTTATAGCAATCAACCAAGAAAAGGGAAAAACCCATGGAGAGAAAGAGCAGTATATACCTGGCAGAACTGTCAACCATGCAGAGTGAAAGGATATCCCAATAGAATTACCCGCCAAGCACGTATATTCCCCAGCATCCTCAAAAGTTACATTCCGAATATAGAGAACCTCAATTTCTTTGTCCGTGGTGTTAACACCGGCGGCCTAGAAAACAAAGGAAGCAAGAAAAGGGCTAGAGGACACAGGAATGATTGTGGAGGGGGCCATGGAACCATGAGGCCCTGCACCGGCGGCTTCAGGAGGTGCTGGCCACTGGGAGATTCCGACTGCAGCCCATCCACAAAGCCCACAACCAAGAGACATGGAGAACCACTGGCCAGCTCGCCTCTGCAGGCCCATCACCACACCGGCTTCACCACCTAGACATGCATGCAATCAGACACATGGAAAAAATCAACCCACAAAAGTCCATTCTCCAGGCCTTTTTTTGGTTTGGATTTAGGGTAATTTTCCAAAAGTATAATGCCCAAAAGGCTAAGCTGGGCTATGGTCCTGTTGGCTGCAGACCCCCATGTTGAGAAAAAGGTTGTTCTGTCTAAATTGGTTTGTAACAAAATACTACAGATAAGCCCAGTGGACATGTCACATATGCCTCTGGTTCTGTAGGAATGAACCAGAGTAAAAGGTTGTCTTGACCACAGGCTCTGGTTAACTTTACTTTCATAAAATCATCTTGCTTACATAGTATTGAAAAAAAATGGAAGCATGATCTTGGCAAGAGGAAAAACAATGAATTTTCTTCTTTTTTACTATAAACTTTGAATGTGAACCATGACAAACTAAGAAGGCCAACCTTCTTCCTTCAGTGGCACCAAGTGGTATTAACTAGGGGACATGAACTGTCCTTGAATTTGGAATAGGATCACTATGGAACCAACGAAATGATACTTTGTGGGACCAGTTATATTATGGCAGTATTTCTCTACAAACCAGGGGTAGGCGGAAATAAGAATTCTGCTTATCCTGAAATGCTACAGATTCGATATGCAGGAATGTATGGAAAATGGTATTAATGGGTAGTCATCATAGGAAATGTGCAGCCCAAACAAGATAAACCAGAAAGAACAACCTTTAAAAACAGGTTGAGGGTGGAGGGTAATTTTAGGAGAAATAAGAGCAAGCACTTTGAACGTTGTGGGTATTTTTCCATGGCTGCTGGCATCATGCCAGCTGCATCACCAAAGAAAGATTATTATATATATACCAAGGCCACAAGAGTTATCCTACAAGCTGCCTGCAGTCTCCCAAAGCACCACGTCTTTTCAGCTTCTATATCCAGCTTTCTTTTACATAACAAAAACAAAAAACAAAAACGTTGTTACCTTGCTGTTTTGGCAGGACAGTGAGCCAGGCAGACTGGTTGGCCTGCCCTATATAATTGGAGACCTTACATATATACTCCCCAGCATCCGCCTCAGTCACATTGAACAGAGCCAGCACTTCTGCATTGGAACTATTTATCCCCGAGTGCTAGAACAGACATAGGAGAACAATATAACGGCCAACCAGGAAGGACTCAGTGCCTATGGTCCCACCACCAACACACCACAAGAAAACAACCTCCTTTATGACTAAAGAGCTGTGAGTTGAGGAAAAACAAAGTCGGTGGTGAACAGTGAAAGTGACCTGTGGAGAAGGGTGGAAGGGTGTGACAAACAGCTGGTGGAATGGGTCAGCAGTTGCCCAGGTTGGTCATCTTTCCCCAGGTTTCTAGATCCTGGGTATTGTTAGCTGGAGAGAATACTTCGTTGATTGAGAGTTCTTAGTTAGCCATTGACGGTTCTATTAAAAGATTATTCTTTTTAAGGATATTCCCTGTGAGCAAATCAGCATGGAAGGTATGGTAGGCAACAAGCTAAGAAGTAGAACTACAGACTTATCTGCTCCTGGCTATAAAATGCAGGCTAGATCTAAAACTTCAAACTGGCCAGGCAAGGCTGCACCTGCCTACAAACAATTCCAGCACTCAGGAGACTAAGGCAGGAAGACTGCTGAGTTTGAGGCCAGCCTGGGCTACATAGTGAGTTCCAAGTCAGCCTGAAATACATCGTGAGACCCCTTTCTCAAAACAACGAAACTAACCAATTAACTAAATAAAAACTAAAGAGGCTGATGCTCTGAAAATGGAGCTTATCAACAAAAAATACAAGAAGAAAGTTTTCTTGCCCAACATTTCGTGGGCACAAAAACATGTCCCAAAGTTTACTGTCTAAATCATATGTTAAGCTGGGCATAGTGGTGCACACCTGTAATTCCAGCACTTGGGAGGCTGAGGCAGAAAGACTGCTGTGAGTTCAGAGCCAGCCTAACCTATATAGTGAATTCGAGGCCAATCCAATCTACATAGTGAGGCCCTGTCTCAAAAATCAATCAATCAACCACATGGTAAGTTGCTTTCAAAGGTTAAAGGATATTTTGGAGAAAAAAAAGCTAAATTGTTTCTAAAAGGTTGATAATAAAATCTGATCCTGAAGTCATACCAATAGAAATCAACATCAGAACAATGACGAACATTAATACCGTTCCTAAAGCTTTCCAAGCCCTCTTCCCTCCACTCCACTGGGGACAGAGTGTTACGATCTCCACTTTCAAGATGCGCAGCTGAGCCTAACAGTCTCATCTAAGAACTCAGACTGATAAAGAGCTAAACAGTCTGCTTAAAATTCAGCAGTTCTTCCCTAGCCCATAGCTCCCTTCTGAAATCTTATTAGCAAGCCTAATGTTCTGGTAACACAACATATTCTACTGCCCAATCCAAAAAGAACCTACTTCTCTCAAATCCAAAAGTAAGCCAAAAACCTTGACCAAACCCAAGGAGGAACCCCAGTCGCAGCCCCCTGTGAATCCTTGGGATTCAGAAAGTACTCACCTTCAGAACCTTGAGGTAGGGCAGCCCATCAGGCCCATATTTACTGCCGTTCTTTTCCACATGTTTGATCCACTGGATGTGAGGCTGAGCGTCACTGTAAACTTTGCAGACAAATTCCACGTCCCCTCCGACAACCGTGGAGACATTGGCTGGCAGTCCAGCTTGGAGGATAGGTCTGTGTGGCGATCGTTCTGATGGAGAGGGGAGGAGAGGAGGAGCAGGGATGGGAGGAAGAAAGACCAATAAATAAGTGGTGTTGTCCAGAAAGCTGTCGGGGGTGCGAGCCAAAAAGGCCTCCCGTCTGCTGGCTGACTCCTCTGGAATAACACAGAGGCCCCATCCACAACAAAAACGACTTCAAAGGAGACCGCTGGAGCATAACCCTTGTAAAAAGCATACTTATTTAGAAAATCCAGAAAATAACTTATTAATCCACATCACTGGCTAGCCATGGCCACCTAACAAACAAGGGGAAGATTTTGACAATCTAGAAGACAGATGGGATGATCTCCAAAGCCCACCTTGCCCCAGGGCTTAACATTATGGACAAGTGACAAAACTTCAAGGATATTCTGAGTGCCAAAAATGGCTCCTATACACATTGGGTGTCCTGATACATTTCTATGTACAGCAAGATGGCTTATATTTCTTTTTGTGAAAAGTATACTAGACACTAAAGGTCAAGGTTATGAAGAGCACACATATGAAGAGACCACACTAACACCTGGATTCATCTCTTTATCGTGAATCTTACTCCATTTGTTAGCTCCTCATTCATAGCCATTACGCTAATATTAAGTCAGATACGGCACTGAAAGAAACAGAGATGCAGTTCCTAAATGCAGGCTGTGTTTTAGACTATCTGAGAGGAGAGATGCTTACCATTTCTTCCCAGCCTTCACTTCTCTTGCCTCTCTTCCTTTATGGAAGAAGTTATCAACCAGGCAACCCTTTTGTCTTATGCCTAGGAAGGTTCCTCTCTGCAGAAATTGTACAGAAGCAAGGTGTGCTGGCAACTACATCCAGGGTTGTTCAAGATTTAAGTAATACCCAATTTAAAAATGGCTAAGACCTTTAACAAGTATTTCTCCAAAGAAGACACACAAATGGCCAACAGAATAGGAAAGATGTTTATCATTAACCATCAGGGAAATACAAATCAAAACCAAATCTACCTTGCATCTGTCAAGATAGCTACTACCAAAAAAAGTACTGGTGAGGGGTGATGAAACTCCCATCCACACCTGGCAGTAGGATGCAAGTGGGTATGGCCACCTACAAAAAAATATGGTGTCGCTTCAAGAAGTAATAACAGAATGACCATATGATCCAGCAATCCCACATGTATTATCCAAAAGAACTAAAATCAGAATCAGAGACATTAGCAGTCTATCTTCATTGCAGTACTATTCCTAACAGCCAAGATACTGATTTTACAAGCAAGCTAAATGTCCGTCCACAGAGAAATAAAAAAAAAAAAAAAAAAAAAAAACCTGACATACAATGGAAAACCACCCAGCTTTTATAAAGAATGAAATCTTGCAATACATGCCAAAATAGATGCACTTAGAAGACATTATGCCAGATGAAGAGACAAGGCGGTCACAGGAGGACAAATACTACATGGCTCCACTTACAGGAGGCATCTCAGTTAGTCATATGTTGATGTGTCCAAAGAGTAGAAGAGTGGTTGCAGGACTGAGACAGTAGGGGAAATGGGGAGCTGCTAGTCAAGAACCATAAACTTTCCATCCAGCAAGATGAGTAAATTCTAGAGCTCTGCAATACCACATCGCCCCTACATTCAACAATAACAAAATATGTTTCAAATGTGTTAGGACAGTAGATCTCATAGTAAGTGGTTTTTTACAAGAATAAAATAAAGAGCCCAGCAAAGCCAGAGTGCTGTGTGATCTTGTTTACACACACATTGTAACTGTAAACTTACTGAGATCTTCCTACAGGACAGCTCTGTGAGGAACACAAAATCCAATCATCAACCCCTTCCCAACTCCATCTCCTATACCTGCACACACCAGCCTCTCCCTCCTTTCTCTTCCAGCTAATGGTACCACCACCCTTAACCTCCAGCTTAAAACTGGTCAAAGGAAATGAGACCTCAGCCAGCCCAGGGCATCAAAGACATCTCCACGATGCACCTAAGAAGGCCTGTGTGCTGTGCTGGGAACAGCAAGTTACCGTGATAAATATCTAAGCCTTTCTATTGGAGCCTTTCAGATTAAAACATCATTCAGTGGAATTTGTTGGCTCAGAGCCAAACCATGTGCAAATTGATTTTACTGCATAAGCCTATTGCTGGCCTTTAAAATACTTTTTGAAAAGAAAAACTGCTAGTAGTTGCCCTTTGCACGTTACATTCTAAAATCTCCCATCACTTCACGGACACCTATGTTTCCATGTTATAAAGATAAATATTTCAGAGCCCCCAGAGAAGTCATTCATCTGTACTGATATCACCAGCGTAGGCTGAGCAGAGAAGCCAAAAGTCAAGACATCTAGTTTTTGAGGCCAGAAAAACTCAAAGCTTGGTTTCTTCAAATATCACAAGACTAAAACTTCGGCTAACAGGCTATTGCATTGATGGGCTTGTGTGCTCCTGGCTGGCCCATCCACGTGGGAAGGACAGAGTTAAGTTCACTTAGACACACTCCTCTTTTCCTCTCTTCCCACCAGGCCCCCCACCAAGAGATTTAACAGCAGGAGGGAAGCTGTCCTCAGGCTGAAAATTACCAGCCCAACTTCACAAAATATGCTCCTTCGTACCTGTCAAATATTAAGGTTTATTCCTCCCCATAGGAAAGTGAGTTTTAGGTATCAATTTGTTCCTTGGTTCAGTTTTGCATTCACCTACATATGTGTTAAGATAAACTCTGACAATCTGTCTAAAATGTCTTTTCTCCAAAATAAAAGTACTATAAAGATCTGGGGAGATAGCTCAGTGGTAGAGTGTTTGCCTAGCACACATGAGGTTCTGAGTTCTAAACTCTAGTGCCCTCCTGCCACAAAAGTACTATAAAAATTTTAATGTTATAAACTAGACCTGCCAAATCTCAAATCAAGCCCTCTTTCTTAAACATACTAGTTTCTAACAAATTGTTTCACAAGCAAATATTGTGCATTTAATACCAAATAATGCTACCCATGAACAACAGGAGCTTTCAGAACACCGACACCTTTGGCTTGCACCAGCCTTTAGGGGAAATCAGTCACTGGGGCAACCCTGGCAGGGCCCACTACAGAGTTGCAGTCTTGCTTTACTTGTGGTCAGAGCACCGCTGGGCTCCAGTTATTAAGTTATTCCATTGCTATCCAGACTATTTTCACCGAAAGGAAAAAAGAAACTTTTGCAACGGTTTAATATTATTGCATTTGCAAATTACAGCATACCGAATGTCACCGCTTGCAGTCTTGAATTCATCTTTTCAAATTTTCTCACCTTATATGAAATAACCTCTTAACCACCCGTTCTCCCCCTCAGCCCTTTCTCACTTTGGGTATAAAAACTGCAAGCAGGATCATTTTGTAATAGAAACCTTATACCGTCTTCCAAAACTTATTACAGCTGCTTTTGGTATAAAATGAAACCTCAGAGAATGTTATTTAAAATGTTTTTTAAAAGTCAGTAGGCCTCATGTTTCGTTTCTCCACATCAGGCTTTGATTTCCTTTGCAACCTTATTCTCTGCCCTTAAACAAGTCAGAGAATGAGGCCTGAAACGTCTTGGAAAAGGTCCCAGGATGCCAGCATCTGCCATGCTCGTCCTATCCCCTTCAACCATCCATCTTCCCTGGTATCCATCAGACCCTCAAGAGCAGCAATCAAGAAGTGCATGACAGCACCTAACTTCTAAAGAGTTGGGGTAAAAGCCAAATACAGATGGCTGATGAGGAAGCAGGTCTGGGAGAACAGAGAGCCTTGTGTGGCCTTCGCAGTGGCCACATGGGAAAAGAGCAGGGACAATAAAAACAATGCCCTCCCAGAGCCAACCTCCTGCCCTGGAACCTCGACAGGCCCTGAGCAAACTGAACCCCTCAGGTTTGCAACTTTTCACATCAAGTTGAAATAAAAAGGATTAGTCCATGAATTATTTCTGGATGAGAGACGAAAGCCCAAAGCTGGCTCAGTTCTTCCTCTATGTGATAACAAAATCACATCTTCCCCACAGGAAGGATTTACAATGTTAGGCAAGTTTCTTTTACAGCATGTTTAACTCTCTGATATTATATAAAACAGATTTTTTCTTTTTACAGGAGGAGTGAAGTAAATACACAGAAAGCCGAAAAGCTGATGAACAGCTCACCTCTGTTACTTGACTGCAGTTTAAAAATAGACAAGATTCTAAGCTCAGCAGGTTGCAAATGTAGAATACATGGACCTGAAACAGGATGAGAACCTTTAAAATAGCCACTCCAGGGTCCCTCTGTGCATTCCAAATTAAGACACAATGGAAAGCCGGCCAAAGGGTGCGGCTCTTGCCGATGGGACAGTTGGCTGCACTGCTGGAATGAGGTTCCACCAAATAAATGCGTAGTAAACAGACTGAAGTGCTCTAAAAAATACATTCCCTCCCCGCCTTTTTTCTCTGTCTCCCTCTTGCTCTCACCCCCTTTTTTCAAGTGTCCACTTCACTAAAGCAGAAAGCCCAGCTGCTAAGAGGCCAAATATCCAGATTGGCTCTTTCAAGTCTTGTTCTGTCGCTGGGAGCCATAACCCAACTGAAGACTGCAGGAAGAAAACACAGCTTACTTCATTCCAAGAGGTAATTATGGAGAGAGGGAGAGGGAGAAAAGGAGAGAGGGAGGAGAGAGAGAAGAAAATACCTGAGTGACAAAGAATAAATCTTTGTTAATTGACCATTGAAATTTTATAACATGCCAGTCCTTCTCTGGACATAATAATATGTTTGCTCATAAGAGATCTACAGCTTTTGCTCTGACATAGCAAAAGCCATAAAAAATGTCCAGGGAGCAGAGAGGCCTGATGTCTACAGGCTCAGTAAACATGCATCCCAGGGATCAGAAGGAGAACCAGGCTCTTAAATTACACCTATAAATTAATCAAGCCCAGAGCCCATGCTTTGGCAACACACATTGATCTCTCAAGTTTATCCCCCCAAAAGTTAACCGCCTTTGTGACAAAGAACCAGTTTGAAGCCACTTTCTCTGCCGGG